TAAGAGTAGAATGTCGGAGATTAAATGAAGAAACACTAGAATGTGTTTGTAAAGAGGGAGTGATAAACAGAGCTATTCTGTGTTTGGAAGCAAATGGAGGTCATTTGGAACATTTGAAATAAGTATTGTTTTAAATTGTTGTATTATTGTCGTATTAAATATACAATATGTTACTTTAAAAAACATCGCAGCTTGTTTCAGCAGCTGGCTATTATTTTTCAGAATAAAGCTACGAAAAGGAGGGTTCATCTTTTTTGCTGCTTTTCTAGCAATATTTCTAATGAAATTATAGACTTCCTTAGCAGAAAAATCTTCTAAAATTGATAAAAAATATATACCTAGTGTGCCATTTGAACAAAAACAGTTGACTATAGCAATTTTGACATATGTTACCATGGAGACGATCTAATAATGTCTTTTGACAGATGTTGAGCGGCGATTTAAAAATATATAGGGTTTGTTATAGCTATTTGTTAAAATAAAAGAGATACACCAAACTGAATCACCCGGTATTTCTGAATCGTACTATGTGTCACAATTTGGATTTCGTAAAACACTTGACGAAAAAATAGAAACCGCAATATTTTTAAGATCGAATTAAAAAAAATATGTTGTATCCTTTTTTTTTTAACTGAGAACTGAAAGATTGGACGATTGCAAGTGTTTGGTGAAACCTGACCGTTTTTCGTAACCTTTCGACCAGGAACGAGGCGTTGGCGGATTATCTGGAGTCCTTACTATTCCTCGCGTTACTACTGGTATTACTGATAAGTCTGCGTCTTAAACAAGCGAACGTGATCGCGATAGCGAAGCGCCTCCTTCGTGATTTGATTTCGTTGCATTCGAAACGATTGCGATGCAGACGGCAAACCGCTCACGCACCAACGCCTGCTGCGACATCGCGATCGAACACCCAGTCCCGACCGTCTCTTGTCGAAATACACTCTTCGACACGGAAACTGAGGTTTTTATTCTATATAGGGTGTCTCGTAGTTACTACAATTTCGATTATTTCGTGAATTACGCTGATTTAAAAGAAAAACAAGGATATGTATATGTTTCGTTTAAATTCGTTTTTAAACCGGTAGAAAGTTGCTAACTTTCAGTAGACAACTCCGTGTACCTATTTGAGTTTTTTTTATAGTAAACTGTAATCTGATCTCTATTAAATACCTCGATACATTAATCGGAAAGTTAGTTATAGTTTAGACATTTACTGTAAACGGTTTGCAGTCTGCTAGTTCTCTTATCACCAGCCCGCCTCAACTTACTATCAAAATCTCCGCGTTTCCAAACTCTGTTCCTCTATTCTCTCATCTCAGCTGCAGCAGAGAAACAATGGATTGGTTGATGTTCCTCTGAAACTTGACTCGAAGCAAGTTATCGGGACAACTCGGCTGTTCTGGAGATTTGAGAGAAACGTAACCCCAAGATATTGCCCATATAAGATAAGATTCACGAGACTTGAATATAAAATGTGGCTTATTCATCCCATAAAGGCTGATTTAGTTGCTCCAGCTTGCCATTGTTTTATATAAAATTCATTTCATGACGCCCCAGAATGCGGTCTGAATGTGGTTTTGCGGCTGTTATTGTTATTATTATTATTACTTCCGCTTATAATAAACCATATACAGAGTGATCTTTTACATCTGTCATTTTTTTAGAAAAGAGCCTTACTCAAAGGGAAGACAAATCAACATTTTGAAAGTGTTGGATGAGATTTTTATTAAAATACATTGCATTTACATAAACCAATCAGGATTTCTTCTGCAAATATGTCAGCAAAACTTTGACCTTATTATTAATATACTTGTTTTCTGGTTTATCAGCCTTTAATTTGATTTTTCATATATTTTTAAGTTTTTTCCATGGAAAAGTATAAGTAGCTCACCATCCCCCGAACAATAAACGCCATTTACACTTTCTCTAAGACGTTAAACGATTTTAAATTAAAATAATTGAGGTTTGTTGTTTTCGCCGATAATTTTTGGATACAAACAAATTTCGACAAAGAACCATAATTACTGATCTTTCAAATTCTTGACCTAGCCCGCCCCTGACCTCTACACCCCACTGCACGTCCCTCGGCTGCATTTACCGGAATAACAATTGAAGCGGGAATGACGCCCTTGTATGCCAACACTTGTAGAAGGAAATGCTGCGCGTATCCGACAAAAAGTGTTTGCATTGAATAATGTGGAATCCTGTTCGAGTGTTCGAGGTATTTCGGGAGACACAAAAACCTCTATTTGTCCCGATGCTTCCTGTCATAATGGGACTTTATTTGGTGCGATAAAACGGACATTAACGGGGTGCTGAGAAGGTCGAAATGATCAACGGTCGTGGAAAAGAGGTCGAGCGGGGTTGACGGCCCTGTGTAGGCATAAAAAATTCTTTTATTCGCTTCGATGTGGGCGTTTAGAGGGTTTTGTTAGATGGAGGATGAAAATTACACCCGAAAAAATGTAGAACAGGCATTGAAGGAAATTTTGGTGATGTGAAACTGACACAAAAGTGCTTGGAAGCCTTGTAATGAATAGCAACTTTCTCAAGAAATTTGTATATAGCGGCAACAATACTATAAGTATTTGTCTCAAATCCTTAATTTATCTTAGAGAGTTTAATCCTGTATTTATACACGTTTGTAATAATCAGGCGGTCAAATCCTTTGTTCTGTTTGAATAAAATTCCGTGACCTTAATACTTTTGACAGTACCCAAGGCGGAAAACTTGAAATGGAAGGTAGACTACCCGAGAAAATTGTAATATACAGGGTGTCCGCGTTTTTTGTAGCAGGACTTTCACAACTTGTACTAAAAGTCCTTTAAAAAAAAGTTCATGTAAACATATATGTATAGATGCGTCGTTTTCGATTTACAGTGTTCAAGTTTAAAATGAGAATTGATTTTTTATTCGTAAAACGAAAACCCCTTTTTAGACTTTGTTGAAACTTGGCAACTTTGTAATAATAATACTCATTTTCTCACATAATTTAATTTGTCCTATTTTCTCCAGTGGCGTCACAACAAGATACCAGCTTGATAAAAATAGAACAAAATATGGTACGCCATTGCTTTTTGGTAAGTTTGAAATTTTTCTCAGATTTAGCTATCAAAAATACAACTTTTTTGTTACTTACTTTTTTTCCTATCTCGTTTTGTTTAGTAAGAAATAAAACATTTTCATGATTAGGTTCGAGATTTGCTTAATTTATTTATTTACTTGTTACAAAGTGTGCCGTGAATATGTCTGTTTTTGATTTGCCAAGGTATTGTAGCAATGGTTTGACGTTTGTTGACGTTCTTTAATTAAGTTTTTTCGATTGACGGTTTTCGTTATACGTTTACATACCTAAACTTTTTTTTTAAAGGAACTTTTAGTAAAAGTTGTGAGAGTCCTGCTACAAAAAACGCGGACACCCTGTATTTCCGAAACAAGAAAATAAAATGTATGAACTATATTTTTCGTGACTTCAAACTTACTTTTACGTACCTTCAAGATTCTTAAGAAAAGGAATATTGGACATAAGGTGAAAAAAATCAAGAATCTTTACCAGACAACACGTGTACAAGTTTTTAAATAATTTTTCTGATCATTTTTTTCATTTATCAATAATTTTTACCCTTTTCTTAGTAAACTTCTACAACAATTTTTTAAACTATGTAGTTATTGCCATATTGGAGTATATCAATATCAAACGTTTATAATACAATTTATGGACTACAATTTTATTATCAACATTTGTCCCTTCGAAATATTTTTCGCCTACGCCCGTAGCGAAATCATGTTTATTTTCACATGGTGGCACTTAGGCATAAATAAGCGCAAATAAAACTCTAAACACGCCAGCAGAACCTCAAAGTATGAAGTGCTTGTATAAATTTATAACGTTTACGGTCGATTGTTCGGGAGCCCCAGACTCTTTACGAGGCCTTCACCATAAGGCCTTTCGGGGTGCGCGTAAACACCGATGGCGTTTATGGCGACGCGCCCCATTGCGGTCTGGCGGTCGCTATTCGAAACTACAGCGCAATTTCCCGTGAAATTGCATCCATTGCGGTTCTGTAAATAATTCCTGAATTTCATATCGCATGCGGGCGATATACGGTAGCTGCAGGTGCTGACAATCATCGCAAAAGGATCTTTTATTCTTTTTATTAATTATATTTTTTCGGTTATAATCATTTGATTTTTTAAGGGATTTTGAACGTATTTGCACGTACGTTTTTTACCGAAATTGATCACCCCGACAACTTTTATTTTTAATTTAATAAAAAAAGTTTCCCATAAAAGTTGTATGGCATTTTGAAGACTCCAAAAGTCCATTTTTGGAAAAACGACTTGAATACCGTGTATTTTTTTATAGTTATGAAACCTGTAAAAAAAAATTTATTTTCAAAAATCGCACAGCCTCGCACAAAAATCGACTTTCGGGCCCAGAGGTCAAACTATGTTTTTGGGTCGCTGAATCCGAATCCGAGGTCCATTTAACCCCGTCACCTCAGGATTCTTCATAACCTCAAAAAAAAAACGATATTCTGAACAATTAAACCATATAATCTTAAGACTCAAGCTTCCAACGCTAAATCCAATTAACAAAATTTCATAAACATTTAACCCAATGATACCCCAACCTAATAAGCCCATGAACCCAAACACCAATAATCCTATAACCCCATAACCCCATAACCAAGGGAATAAATCATAAACAATCTGTATTATTGCAAAACATCACAGCTGCCGACTCCTTGAAAATCCGAGTAAGTACTCAATTTTAGAATACAGTCAATACTTAGTGGAAAAATACACAAATACTCATAGAAGAAGAAGACAAGACAATTACGTCACAATCTATGCACCGATATTCTACAATCTACCTAATCATACCATGGAACATAAAACAGTATCATCTCGCATGATACGTCTTATCATACACTCTGACAAAGCTATTATGTTTTATAACATTCATAAGCCTCTGTATATGACGTCAACTCAAAATGACTACATATATGTTTGCAGAATTTACTCTTTTGTTTACCTGTTTGTTTAACCCCGCCCCTTTTATGTTGCAGACGGAGCTGTCCCACAACCTGCAACAGTTGTCCGAGCGGGCCCGATCCACAACGGAGTTCATCCAGCGCCTCAAAGGGATGAGCGATAAAGTTAACGTAAGTAACTGTAACTGTTTGCGAGTTCGACCCACTGCTTTTTATCTTCCTACTTTGCCGTGTGTTTGTGGCAGGTGTTCTCCTCGTAGTAACCCCAGGTGTCGTTCAAAAAGCTGATTCCGCGGTGAGCCGAATGTAACTTACATACATATTTGTGTAGCGGGAGTTTGTGAGGAATTTGTATGATAACGATGCTACTCTATGAACTTAAGTCCAATTGACAAGAGTAATTCTAATTGGATAATAACAATTTTTTATAGTCCTTTTTGTTGTGAATATACTGGTATATTACAATTTTTTATAGTCCTTTTTGTTGTGAATGTACTGGTATATTGTAATTAATTTGTATATGTATTTGAAATAATTTTCATCCGTCTTCACAAGAACAGTTTTTTATACAATAAACGTTACAGAATTTCAGAAAGAAAGAACAAATTACAAGGCTATTAACTAGGTTCCAGTCTCTTAAGAATCCATTTCAAAGATGGTATTCATATCTCCAAAACTACGATGCGAATTTGTTGGGATGACATTTGGACTGTGAAATGCACCAGCAATATTTCCAAAACTACCCAATAGCCTTTCAGATGATCTTAGATAAGAGAAAGTCTACTTTGATCATCTACTGATATTTTAGTAGATCTTTAGAAGACGGTTTGGAAGTATTGAAAATCATACTTTTTAAGAAACCCGATTTAGAAGTTAAAAGTTGATATTGATTCATAATAAACCAATTTCTTATTCATACAAGTGCTATCTAACTAGATATCTTGAGTTGTACATCTTTTCACTCTTATCTATTATCTACCTCTGTTTTTCCGATATAAATGAAAACAATACTGATCTCAGAACGAACCCTAATAACACTTTTTATGGTTTGTTCTTAAAATTGTTTCATTTCCGTGTGACATGTGAAAAATAAAGTATTTACGTTTTCCTCATCGCGTTTTTCCGATTCGGTCAAATAACGAGCCCAACGAGACGCGATGAATCCGGACAAGCAGAAAAAGGTCGTCATTCAGAACCAAAACGATCGTCCGGCGGACGCTCCCCGCATGCCAAAGTGGCATATTACTTCCGGAACGTTGGTACTTGTTGGAAAACTTCATCCACCCTCGATCAATAGTATCTTTAATTAAATATGACTGTTCCGGTGTGCACCGCTCCGACCAGACAATTAGGACACACAATGTTGCCGAATATACTTTTAGTTTGGATGGTTAGGAGAAATTTAGGTCAACAGGAAACGCCAGTGGTGTGCAACTGTTGTTTTTGGCTCTTTTTTCGATGTTTCCTCGTAGCAACAGTACTTGTTATTCTCTGCATTTTTATGCACTTATCCTTAGAAATAATTGATGGTTTTTCAGGAAAACTGTGAGGAATTCGAACAAGTGGTAACAGCACAATGCGAAGCCCTTATACAGGCCATCCACAACAGAAGGGCCCAACTTCTAGAGTGCATCAGACAGGACAAAGAGATGCGTGTCAGGGCCTTAAAGGAACAGGTCGTAACCTGCACTCAAAGATTGCAGCAGACCACCGCCTTGCTGCAGTTCTGCATCGAGGCCTTGAAGGAGACTGACAGCTCTGCGTTTTTGCAGGTGAGCTTGCTGTTAATACCTCCATAAAAATAATGCACATCCGATATTTTTTCCGCAAAATTTCTTAAGAAAAAGTTGGAGAAAAGCTTAATGTAGGACAACAGAGTGTTCAAGTTTACTTTAATGTTTTCTGAACAAACATTTTACTTTTCCAAAATATTTTTAAGCTTCCATGTAATCGTGCTGAAAGACTTATGACAATCTACGGATGACTGTGAACATATTCCATCAATTTTTGTTCACTCAGATGCTGCCGTAATCATTACCATAATCTCGAAACATCTTACATACCGATACAGCTTCTAATTCTGTATATTGCAGAAGTGTTCCCCGACTGCACTTCCTTTAGAACAAGCAATTCGCAGCTGAATTATTAATAATGCCAATTTGTGCTTTGCCGCATGGAACGTCGAGTACTCTTATTGGTTTGTTTTGTATAAGAGAACGGGCTCGTAAGTCGAGACGGCTCACCTAAATCGGAATTTTTAATATCTCGCATATCTCGTGCTGTTTTCAATCGGAAACAGAATAACATCAAAAGCATGAAGCTGTCTATGATTTTAGTGTCTAATGCATTTCGTTATGTATATTCAACGAGGTCTTCTGTAAAATATGCTTTTTTGATTTATTTGTGTCAAGAAATTCAACTAGTTTCTACTATAAAATGCTTTTTAATCATTTGAAAATAACGTAAAAGTATAGTATATTGAATGAGGATCTTCTTCTATCATTAATTTTGTAAATTATTTAATATTGTTTTTATTTTATTTTATTATATATTGGTGGAACCTGTGAGCCGGTAATATATCTCTATATTTAGCAAAACTTTTTTTACAGATTGGCTCTATGCTCATCAACAGGGTTGCCAACACAGACCATTCCTGGCACAAAGAGTGGACAGCTCCTCGAGTCTCTCCACACTTCGACCTCACTTTGGACGACAAGTCAGTTCTAAGGGCTATCGACCAGCTCAACTTCATCCAGATGAAACGTAAGCGTTTAGAAAAGTCTATATTGTGATAAATAAATGAAAATCTTTTTGTTTTTGGGAGAAATTCGTATGTGGAATATACTTAGATCTTGTTATAAAAGTGGCAAGTTCTTTGAAAATTCTATAAATTTACTGCTAATGGAGATATAGAATTGGGAAAAAATTAAATGATGTATATATGTGTATATGTAATATATTTGTATGTGTATGAAATATGTGTATATGCATAGATATAACTTTATTCGGAAAATATTTTATTTAAAAAAAAATTTCTTTCGGATATTTTCCAGACGTACAAAGATCATCGCTGAAAATTTGTAATATTTACACTAAAAATGCATTTTTCAAATGTATTTTCATCTTTCTACTTTTACCAGTGTCGTAGAAAATGGGGGTGATGGGTTACCTTTATTAAAAAGCAAGCCACTGGCCCTTTAGAGTCCTCGTATGTCTGACCGTTTCCGAGCAAATCGAATTCATTAAAAACTACATGAAAATCCAAAAATATAACAAAATATGTCGATAATCCTTTTAAATTTTTTGATATCTTACGTTTCTAACAGATCATCGTACTGTCACAATAATACGAATAAACAGTTTTGGAACCACTGACACCATCGATAGCTCGGCTGACTCGGTTTATTAGGACACAAATCATTGTACATAAAGATGTACAATTAACTCGCAGCACCATTCTATTACCACCTTGTCCATTAATCCATTTTGGTGGTATTAGTTAGGTCATTGTAGTATGTTTATTCGCACTTATTAACACGGATATGCACAACCCAGACAAACTGTCTCTTCACAAAAATAAAACACATTAAAAATCAATATCCAGAAAAAAAGTGATTGCCTAAACATTTGTTCATCAATAATTTCGTTTGAAACATAAACAATAAAAGACACGTGTCCAAATGAAAACTGGAAGTAGAAAAGAACAAAAAGTGTAGGACGTGCTATCTACGGTCACAACTGTTCATCTCTTTTCCAGAGGTCCTCAATAAGTTTTAGCAACTTTCATTATCATTAATTTTAGGATCCGTGTTGCAATTTCAATGGTCTAGATTATCGAAAATGCCTATTATTATTGCATTCTTTTTACTGTTTTAAAAATTCTCTCCAAGCTTGTAAACGCCGTGTATATTTTCTTGTTTCAGTGGCTTTTAAAATAGGAAACTCATTTTCGAAACGGCCCATGTAAATCATTTGTAAAACGATTCCAGATCCTCTCATAAATTAACTTGTACAAGTTTTATCCCTCGATTCGCGAGAAAAAATGAATTAAACAGAAATCCATAACACCTGCACCTTGTCATTTTTTTGCTGGCAATTAGCCCGTCCTAATTCCACTTCCTTAGCTTCCTGTTGGAACAATCGCGCCGAAATTCGAAATTAATCGCGTTAAATATTCAAAGAGAAGGCCGGGGGACCGGATACGTTCCCCGCCTCCCCTCCCCCTTCCAAATTACCATTTTTAGTTCCGATTTAATTGGGGCAGCTTTTCAAAGGCGTCCCGTAAAAATGAACACGGTATCACTAATAAAGACGGCCGTGAGCGTCGCTCTTTTGTTAATTATATTTTAAACGCGGCGCCATCCGAATTGCAGATTTCCCTTGAATAAATGAATAGGATATCGCGATTGTGTGTTTTAACGGGCGTAGGGGAGGGATGTCAGCACGCTCTTCTTTCTCAAGCAAAAAAATTGACAAGAAATGTCGAATCGTTTCAATATACGAAGTGTAACACTGACGTTGTGACGAATTTTCCAGTCAATTGTCGAAACATTATTACAAAACCGTAACCTTCTGTCAAACTAACATAAATTTAATAAAATGGAGCTACAACATAGTCGATCGTTCTCGTTCGTCGAATTAACGTTGGCTGTTTGTTTTTTCCCGTTTAGCGCCCTGTTGTCATATCACATCAGGTGGATTGATATTTTGTAGTTCACTTAAACTAAGTCAATGTCAGAAGTCGTTGACAATGAGATTCACAAACTAAACGCAGTGCTTTGAGAAAATAATAAGGAATATTTTTTATTTGACTTTAAAATAAAATGTCGCTACATTGTACAATTGCGATATGAATTAATAATAAACATAATAAACACACCACAGAAATGAGACAACCCCCAAATCCAAAGCCAAAGGCTTGTGCGGAAGGGGGCTACACTGCTTGTGCGGAAGGGGGCTACACTTGAAAAAACGCGGACAAACACCCATTATCCATCGACATTGCCAATGCCGATACCGGGGATCGAACCCGGACCAGAGTAGGAAGCCTAGCCGAGAAATGCTTGCCACCACACTCTCGACCGACTGCGCTACCATGGCGAATTATTATGACTAGAGTAGAAACCGCACTTCATTCGCACATGACGTCATTATCAGGGGCGGACTCAGGACGCTAAGTTAAACTCTGTGGAAACTGAGGTGCAAACACCATATAAAAAGTAAAAATCAAAGTCTCACCTTGTACTGACGATTTATAATATCCACTATGATTCATATTAAGTTTATTAGTTTACAAAACACTCTACACTGAGCTCTACACCTATTCACTTGCAGTGCTGAAGTAAAACCGAATAACCAGCAACTGCTGTAAATGTTCAGGCGTTAGGTTGTGGCGTTTATCGTTAAAAAATCCATTTTGGTTTCGAAAACGTACGTTCAACGTCCACAGATGTTACTGGGGCATATTTAAAGTATATATAATTTTTAACTACTATCTACTATGCGACATACAGTTAGAAATCACGGATTGTTATGCAAAACGGTATCAATTTTGTTTCTTCACACGTTCAGTACTATGTCCTGACACCTGGGAAATAAACTGTTGCATGTCTAAAACATTATTTACTGTGTTATTTACTGAATATTCTGATGATGCCACAGTTACTTCAAGACGGCGTATAGCTGACGGTATTCGTAAATAATTAAAATGTATGTATGCTAAATCTTCACGAAGTGTAGGATCGTTAAATATCCTTTGAGCGCATTATAATTCCACGATATAACGCATTCACAAATTTTGCATCCTAGTTCTGCTCCGTCGAATTCTAAATCGGGGTAATCTTTTATCCAGTTTTCGACCGTAGAGCGAGCGGGAAGCCGACGCGACATTTTTACAGAGACAANTTTAACGGGCGTAGGGGAGGGATGTCAGCACGCGCTTCTTTCTCAAGCAAAAAAATTGACAAGAAATGTCGAATCGTTTCAATATACGAAGTGTAACACTGACGTTGTGACGAATTTTCCAGTCAATTGTCGAAACATTATTACAAAACCGTAACCTTCTCTCAAAGTAACATAAATTTAATAAAAATGGAGCTACAACATAGTCGATCGTTCTCGTTCGTCGAATTAACGTTCGCCGTTTGTTTTTTCCCGTTTAGAGCCCTATTGTCATATCACGTCAGGTGGATTGATATTATGTAGTTCACTTAAACTAAGTCAATGTCAGAAGTCATTGATAATGAGATTCACAAACTAAACGCAGTGCTTTAAGAAAATAATAAGGAATATTTTTTATTTGACTTTAAAATAAAATGTCGCAACATTGTACATTGCGATATGTTCTTAGAAAATTATTATGACATTTCCATATTTTTTAGTTTTCTGGAATGTTCTTTTTATTCACTCTAACCGCGGACACACTCTATGAAGATGATCTTCTTTTGCTGATTTTATACATTTAATACAGCTATCTTTATGGCGGAAATAGATGAAAAATAAATATCAACAAGTCTCATATTACCAATATTCGAAACAAACGAAAGCGACATAAACAACACACTTGTTTTTAATCATACCTTCATCGTTTTATTTTAACACTGATATTTTATAAACGAAGCTTTTGTATTGTGTCACGAAATTATTTTTCCCGAATGGAGACTGTCCATTTACATATTTGTTTCTGTTCGATGGGCAGCGTACGTAGATGGAGAGGAACGGGTGCCTGCAGGTAAACTGGCATGAAAGAGCATGTTTATTACATTTTTTCGTTTGCTGTACGAACCAGATGTCAACATTTTTCCCTTAATTGACAAACAGAATTTTTTATTAGTTTCTATGTCTCTTGGATTTGACGTGGAAAATGGAACTGCTTTTATGTATACGTTTATGATTCAGTAACAGTACTCGATTTTTGCTTGCCTTTGTGTATGCGAAAAATATTCGTTGCGTTTTTTTTTTTTTGAGTTTGCATGGTTGAGCATCTTGGAAAATTTTGTCGCCTAGGGTACTTTCAGTAAAAACTAAAGAATGTTTCATTACCAAGCCAAATTTCAAAATGTTGAAAAACTTGAAATTTTTCAAATTATTTTTTGACGTTCCTACCTACCTGTTGCTCTGTGTCCTGTTCTTAATGGGACATCCAGTATATATACCACAATTACGCGAGTTTTCATGGCAAACCTTTTTCCATGTAATTCATCAAGTTTGCTAAATTTTTATTTGATAATTTCGGGTTTTAATATTTTCTTTTTTAATTTTTTAAGTAAAAATGTCTTCATATCCCTTGTATATCAAACCCAAACCCTAGTAGCTACCTTTCATTTGTCCAAATAAATTCTTTAGTTTCCGAAAATAATCTTTACAGTTTAGAGTATTATTTCTACGAATAGTAATAACAGTCATTCCTATAAAGCAAAACATAAAAATAAAAGAGGTTATACATACAGGGTGTTCCACCTAAGAGGGATTCTTCTTTAATAAAAGTTGCCTGGAATCATGTCGGCCATGTAAAGAAATCATTCCTTGGTTAATATTAGGTAGAGTTTATTAAATGTTGTTTTTGAAAAAATTGACGATATCAGCTCTCTAAATGAGGTTAGATAGAATATAAACGGTAAGAATTAGAAACCTGCAATTTTCACAGTTCGTCTTGGCATAAATTACTCTATTTTGTCATCAGTGAGCAAAACGTGTACCATATTCAGACTCGGAAATACTGAGACCTACATTTAATAATCTTACGAGTTGAAAAACTTTTTTTTCAAATGGAATGACCCATATTAATTGTCATAGGTAAATGCAAAATTGAATGCCCTTTCAATTGGTTCAACTTTTATTAAAACCATTTTTTTTATAAATTTGACAGTTACAGAGTTACAGAAAAATCCCTCTTAGGTGGAACACCCTGTATATTAATATATATTTATAAAAAAATACTTTTCAGGACGAGATATATAAAATTTTGTATCAAGAAATGGGCTGTTTTTAACGTGTGCGTTTCTAATGTTATAATCTCTTCTCACTTTCACAGAAAAAAAATTTTTGAGAGGAAGTCGCACTCCACTTCCCCTTCATTCCCAGTTATTGTGCGAATAGCTCCCAAAGTGAGAATAGAACTCTTCGAGACGCATACTAACCGCCTGTTTTCAATGTTCTTTCTAATCGAACGCGTTCTAATTCCCACCCTAACTGTTGCTCAGCTCCCGCAGCTCCCACTATCATCCCCGAGGAGTGCAGTGCCGAGAACAACTCCGTCACCGTGGCCTGGCAGCCGCCGCCCCACAGCCACGTCGAGGGGTACGTCCTGGAGCTGGACGATGGCAACGGAGGAGACTTCAGGGTAAGTGCAACTTAAAATTTATTTAAAATTAAAAAATTCAGTGTGAGGATAGTACAAGCCTTTGTACTATCCTCACACTGGCATGAGGTCCTACCCGCGTACTATGCGACGCGTACATTAACCGCGAACTGAGGCTACAACACAAATACAAGCAGCTTTGAGCCGGCCTCAGTTTCCTCCTAAATCACGTTATTTTAACCGCCTCACATGGAGGGGGAACTGTAGCATATTGTAGGCAAGTGTGACGCGCCTACAAACAAAGAATTTCTGGCCTCACTCTGGTGGGGATTAGTGGGGAGTAACAGTGTCCAATGCCGCCCCGATGGAAACGACGAGCGGCGAGATATCCAATATTCAAACAATTATTTTGTACTGTTATTTTGATTTTTGATAAACGTGATAAGTAATTGGAAATTAGTTTACCTAAATGTTTATTTAGGTTAATAGTAGAATAGTAGTTATTAATATGTGATAGCCAAACTTTACAGTGAGGCCCGGCCTCAGTTGCTTCATGCGACAAGCCGCCACTGGTGTAAACGCTGTTAAAACAACAATTCAACAACTTTCCTTGTATATTGGCCTTTAACCCACTAAACTGTCAATCTCTTGTCGCGTGAATACGACGGTGGCAGAGCGGATCCAATAGAGGGTCGTGTCGAATCAAACTTTGCTAAGTGCCACCGAAATAAATTTTCACTTATTACTTTTCAGTTCAGATTAACTGCCGCCGACTGATACCGAGTTAAAATGAAAGTTCTCCTCAAAAGCCTTTCGCGAGAGTAAAGAGACGGTCGGTTTTGAATTTTATCGTTTGCAAACTCTTCGCTGGAGTAATAAATTCTCTAATTTCGGTCACGAAATCGGAATTTCGGTGGTTAAGGGGGGAAGTGGGCGACCTATTGATAAGGATCCTCGATTCGGAAATGTCATAAAGTTTTTATGAGTTAATTTGAAAATCGAATCGTTTTAATAGTCAGAAGGTACGACACTATATCCCATTTTATCATAATGACCAATTTTTTTTACTAGACTCACAGCGCCACCGTTGAACCAGTTTTATTACTAGACTTACGGTATCATCGTTAGGTATCAGTTCTTATATCTCACTGACACTGTTAGTTCTGTGCGAATATGAGACCCGCAAATGCATAAATTGGAACTCATCATTTGGTGGCGTCTGTGCCTTGAGCTACTAGTAATGTAAATCATTATTTTATTACAGTTTAATATATTTAACATCAATAAAGGCCCCCGTAATGGCTATTTCATTATTAATATGATTCGAAATGGCCAGCGGCCAGTTAATTTATGGTCGGTCGGGAGGGTTAATTAGTTTTTGCTTTCGCTTCGGAAAATGGGAAATGTTTTAATTTTAATTTTAATAATGGAATGGAGTGATACTTCAATGATTTTGATTTATTTATTATGGAGTGCGTTGATGATATAACAGCAGCCTCCGGTTACAGGGGTCATGCCACGACATAACGTGCAAAAACATGGACAAAACTACATCGTTGTATTGTGATATGCCTCTCAGAATCACTTGGACAGTACTTTATTGTATTAGCTTTTCGCGGAAACTGCTGCTTAGATTATTATTTACATTTCTACTTGAAGAAACCTTTCGCTTTTCATCTTCACCATTTTCAGGAAAATTTCTATGAAGGCCATTTTTATATAAATTCACTTGCCAAAACGGACTTTTTGAACACTCAGTCTAGGTACACGTGTTTCTGATGTTGCATTAAATCTGATTTCAAAACTATTACCACATCACTATCGAAATAATGAGCTGTCGGAATCAAAGATGGAATATATTAACTCCATATTTGGTAGAAATAAATGCATATCTGAGATATCGATCTTCTCGGTGTTCCTTTGTAACGGATAATATTGATACAAAATGATTTCATTGTCTAATACCTTTGATGTTTCATTAGGGACCTTTTGGGAGACAGGCGTATCTTCGTGAAGTAAAATTACAGTTGCAACATCAGTTGTATGCGGTGTAAAATAGAAGAATTGAAACATATGAGAATGTCTCTGCTAGTGAATTTAGATATTTCTTTTTAATGATTTAGGTATTTTAGCAGAACCGATTCTAAAAGTAGAAACTGTTATTATTATTATTTTTAATCCCGATTGTTAAATTTTAATAATCGGAGAGTTCTTGTGGTTTTAATATCGTTAAAATATACTATATACATTTTAATATTCATTCTGTACACTATTATAGACAATTCCCTTTTAACTAATTCTTATTTTCTTACTTACTATTAACCCTAAAAACCTACTCTCACTTAAAGTTGCACCCTGTTATAAGAAGAAGCAAGTATGTACATAAATGTAATAAAGAATTATACAAATAAGGGAAATATGAATGATAAGATACAGGGTGTTTTTAAATGAAGTAACAAAAATGGTACCAGTGAATGTAGAGCCAAAAATAAGAGTAAAAATACCTTATATGAAAGTTGCACCCCTGAGGCGATATACCCTCTTAAAGGAGGGGATTGAAATTCACATTTTATTTTTTTTCTTTAACTTTAACTTTTTTACCTCTTTCGATAAAACCTATAGTTTTCTAGTAAAAAAATTAGATGCGTCATCGTTCACTAAAGGGGTAATTGCGAAAATTTGTAAAAATAAAGTAGGCAGATGACATAACAAATAAATTATTATTTATCATATTAATAAATTGACACTTTCTGTCGATAAGCTGGTAATTTAATAATAACATAATAATAGCATAATTTGCTATTAATTAATGAAAAATGATAACTTATGACTATGAGATATGTATTAGGTAAAGTTATTTATCTGAAATAAAATTTAATACAAACGAAAAACATGAAACGCAAAATGAAATTTAAAGAATATTCTCGAAATAATTTCCATTTTGCTGCAAGCATAACCTAATACGTCTGTTGAAGTTGTAACGCACTCGCACAAACAGTTCTTGGTTACTGCGAAGGTCATCTGCTGCCTGAAATATTCTTAAGAGTAGTTCTTCTAAGGCAACAGAAGTGGCATAAACAATACTTTCTGTGTCTTCACAAAAAGAAATCCATATGTGTTAGGTCAGGTGAACGTTCAGACCAACAAACAGGGGCATCACGACCACAACTAATCCAGCGATTCGGGTAATTTATATTTAACCATTTTCTAACGGCAAGTGTACTATGTGCCGGCGCCACATCGTGCATATACCGCATCACCTAACGTGTAGCGAGGGGTACATCCTTAAGTAATGTTGGAAGATTTTCGTTCAAAAATCTAAGATACTCGGCCGCTTCAAGCCTGTATGGAAGAATAAAAGGACCTATTAGTAGAATATTTCCTACAATTCCCATCCAAACGTTTAAACTGAAATTATGTTGACATCTTGAAACTAATATTTCATGAGTATTTTCTTCCGACCATGAATGAACATTATGAAGGTTTACTGCACCTACTCTAGGAAAATTTGCTTCATCGGTGAAAAGTATATTCATTAGAAAATTTAAGTCATACCATTGATAAAAATCCACGCGGTTAGGTAAATCAGGTTCATTCAATTCTTGCACGGGTTGATGGAGAAAAGGGTATAAAAGATTTTCATTAGCTGCATTCCACACAAGACTGTGAGAAACTTGCAGTTGCCTGGACACCTGTCTTGTGCTTGTACCACAGTATTGTTCTAGATGTTCCAGTATAGCTTCCTCAGTTTTGGACATTACGCCTTCTTCCGGGACCCTCACGATTGGGCTGTATTTTAACAGTTTCGCGAAACATTCTTTCCACCGAGGCCAATGTTTGTCTATGAGGAATCGGTTGCTTTGGATATCTTTGGTGGTATAATAAAACACTTGGAGCATGTCGACATATTCATCATTGGTATAAATATTATTTGTCATAATTATTCTGATAATAAATTAATCAATTGGTACTAATTATGGATTGACAGAAAGTGTCAATTTATTAATGTGGTAAATAACAATTTATTTTTTATGACATCCGCCTACTTTATTTTTACAAATTTTCGCAATTATCTACCCCTTTAGTGAACGATGACGCATCTAATTTTTTTACTAGAAAAATATCGGTTTTATCGAAAAATTTTTCCGTTTCACTCTTTTATAAAATACGCTAATGATCGAAGAAATATTGAAAAGTTGACTCTTTATTAGTAGGATGCTCATACCAAGTTTCGTGTCTCTAGCATTCCTCATGTTAAAGAAAAAAATTAAAATGTGAATTCCAATCCCCTCCTTTAAGAGGGTATATCGCCTCAGGGGTACAACTTCCATCATATGAGGTATTTTTACTTCAATCCTCTTATTTTTGGCTCTACATTCACTGGTACCATTTTTGCTACTTCGTTTAAAAACACCCTGTATATGATTACAATAGAAAGAAAAATGAACAATGCACATTGAAATTAAAAATGACGTCATACGGACCGATGTAACTTTATCTCTTCCAACTTGACCCTATCAGACCGATGTGCTCTTTGTAAAAGTAATAGCAAATTGTCGGAAAAGATTAATAGTCTATTCAGCCTGTATTATGATTCACTGGGGCAGAACTAGACTAGAACCCCTGTCTGAAATGAGAATAGCCACAGTCTCATTTGTAATACGTCTAAATGTGCGACAGAAGGCAATTGTGGACCACATAGGTTTTTCAGATATTTTACACACAGTAGGTGACTTGTTTAAAACACGAGAAATGTGTAATTCAAACAAATTATAGTTGAAAAAAAAAAGAATAGAATCAGATCAGTTTTGTTGTTATTATTGTAACTCTTACTGTAGTCTGAAACCTTCTTTATGTCAAGTGAGGTACATTAGGACAAATTAAAAAAATGGAAAGTATTTTTTATCAGCATCATTTAAAGAAACCTTTTTTTTCATTGAGTTATGTATCCTGAAATCCAAAACTCTAGAATTTCAATTATCTTTCGCGCCCTAATCCTACCCTAACGCAAATTGGTAATTACAAACTTCGTAAAAACGTATTTAACTCGTTTTTTATTCTCAACTTAATTATTCAAAACAATTTTTTAATGCCAGTTTAAATTTGGGGTAATTAATTTTTTAAATAACGGCCCCCTTTTGAATTAAACATTTTCTCTGCTAAACAAACGGCAGCAAGGTAGTGCCGCTTTGTTTAGCAGATAATTTAACAGAAAACCGCAAAAAAATAAGATGAGAAATTACAGGGTGGGAACCAAATGTATATTTTTTTTCAATAAAGTACATAGTGCTATTCGCAGGTTTCTTTCAGATATACAAAAAACTATACCTCTAATTACGCTTTTTTTAAAAAAAAAATTTAACTAGTTTATACGTTTCCGACGGTTTTTGACGCTCTAAATCCGAATCCGATTTCAGAATTCCTCCACTACGTTAGGTTTTCCAGATATACCTAATAACTGTGCGAAAAATACGGTTTTCTAATATATGTACTATACAGGGTGTCCCGGTACTTGATATAAAAAAGTCGAGTAAAATAGATGAGGTCAAAATAATATCAGTTCTTCATATAATTTTTTTTCATACGAGCCTTCGTTAATAAGTTACGGGCCCTCAAAGATGAAAATTAAAAAGTTATTTTTATTTACAGTCTCTAAACTATTAACTTCATCATGACGCAAATTTGGTGATCGATAACACATGCGTTCAGCTTGTTTTTGATGTAAGAGAAACGTCATTATGCCCAGAACGTCAGGGACGGACTATGCCCAATGGTTATCAACCCAGAATTTTTGCATAGATGACGATCGCAATTTGCCTGTATCAAAAATAACTTCCGTGAAGATAAAACCCTCTTGGTTTAACTCGGTAAAATTAACAGTTTTGGAAATATTTGTGATTTTTTGTCACAATGCACATCGAGCGGCGCCTCCACCATTTTTTGTTTTTTATTTTCAATTGGACATAATTGCTATGTTCGAAGCGTACATATTTTTAAAATAAGAGTCTAGAAAATCTTACTGTCTGCTAATGTAATATTCACTTATAAAATTTGACAAACACACTTTACACATAACATGAAATAGAAAAACAAGAATAAGTTAAAGTTAAATAATTTAAAAGAAAGAAAACTATCAAAATACATTTTCAATATGGGCATCTCCACACTTCCTAAGTCTACGAATGTTATTTGTTTGTACATTAAAAAGCATTTCGGTGGAAATTAACTTCTGAAAATTTTGGGCTTAGTTTGAATGCTCTTCATAAGTACAATTCCTGTATTATAAACAGATTGTACGACTATCTAAATAATTACTCTTTGAAGACAGTAATTTTAATAAACCGGATGCAAAAAAATATGTGGATTAGGAGAGAAAAGAGGCATGCAGTGGCGCCACTGTCGCCGAAAGTAAACAACTGCACAATTCCGCTTTGCTAGACTAGGTTTACACAGCCGCCCTTGTAGTTGCAGCTGGTATTATGAACTGATATCTAATCACGTATGCTAACGACAGCCAGAAACAAATGACGGCAACAGAGCACCTCACCTCTCTGTTGACTTTAACGTAACAAACAAGCTCCGTACCGCTTACTTGTTGATAAAATTGATGCGAACGATCGTTATGAATAACCAAGAGGACGTGTAAATGTATATAAAGGCTGCGGTCACGTGCGAGGGGGCCTTATCTGCCCTTTCGGCACACGACAGGCACTCTGCGATCGGTTTACGAGCCCATTTGGGCTATCGCCCCTCGATCTGGCACGATGCAGTTCTGGTGGGTAGGGTAACTAGATGCACCGTAAACAGAAGGCGATGCAGTTGTTTCCACTGGAAAACCGTAGATTTAATGAGTAGAGGGTAATAGTGCCCCTTCTGCGTTGGCTTCTTGTACTGTGATGAGGTCCGTACCAAATTTTAATTTGGAGTCCAATGGATACAGGGGTAGTTATTTCGAAATCAGTTCTTCGATTTGTATAAAAATGGATGAACTACGTAGATGTAGATGAAATTGCCATCGACGTAGCTAGGATTTTTTCTTGGAGTGGACCCGTGCTAGAGCAAGCTGTATGGATCAGCGACATATAAAAAGACCTAAAGACACGTTCTGATTTGATTCTAAAAAAAGTCACGCAGTCAGCTGCTTAGATAATATTATTGGATCTTTTTTTTTTCTTTCTGGGGTGGGGAACGCCCATGGAAATAGCTCGAATTTTTTTTATTACTTTTCAGAAACTGTACTTTTGCGGATTTCTGTTGAAAATGGGCAGTATAGGTAGATTTATTTTAATGCTAGAAAGACATAAATTCACACTTTTTTCGCTCGAAATCTCTCGATAATACTCACACTAATTTTAAATCACTAGACCCTACCAGTTAAATTAAAACTCGACAGTCCATGAACCCTGAAGCGTTGATAACTTTTTCTGTGTCAAAACGTCAAATTGGATTTCAGTAGTTTTTCAATATTTTGTGTTTTATGGAAAGTTTTGTAACAAACAAATGCGCTTTATGAAAGTAGAATAGCGCAATGAGTTAAAATTTTTGACAAGGGAACATAATAGTATGATATACGACTCTTTACAATGGAATAGCTTTGATAAAAACAAATTTCACTCTAAAACGTGGCTAGTAGATTTATTATAAATAAAGTAATAATGCCTCAAACAAATACCATGAGGTAAAAAAACTATTTGCAGATATGTATGTCTGCTTGTGTAAACAAGAAAGGGCGTAAACGCTAATATCGTACGTGATGAACGCGTATTACTTGCCCTAACATATTGAATCTATGTGCCAGGGGCAACTTTTAGCATATATTAGGTAGATTATTGTTTACTCCCCCATCCCCTAGAAAACTTCAAAGCCCTCTCGTCTATTGAAGGTCGAGATTAGAAAGAAAGTAAAATATGGAGCGTTGGGTTTATCTCTCGAGGGGTAAGAGTGGTTATTACTTGTTAAAATCGACATTTTCGATCGCCGTAGTATAAGCAAGTGAATCCGGGGTACATAAAGATTACTTATTTACTTTTTTTAATGTGTTTTTCAGGAAGTGTATTGCGGGGTGGAAACTATTTGCACTGTCGATGGGTTGCATTTCCACTGCATGTACAACGCGAGGGTAAAAGCCTTCAACAGCTCAGGTGAAGGAGAGTATAGTGAATTAATAGGATTACAGACAGCTGAAGGTAAGACTCTTTGTTTTTTTTGTGGGTGTCTGTTAAGTAGGCTACTTAGTACTTAGCCTTTTTTTCTTAATTGTCGTTCCCAGCTGTTGGACAGGATAGAGCAACCAACAATGAAGACACACCGTCATTATGCTCTGAAATAAATAATTTGAATGAAGAATTGCATATTCGGTCAGTCTCGTTTCGCTTAATTATCGTTGACCATTTGTTTTTGGCCCGCTTAGCGCCCTGTTGTTATATCACATCAGGTGGATTGATATGATGTAGTTCACCTAAACTGCGTCATTGTCAGAAATCATTGACACTGAGATTCACAAACTAAACACCGTGCTTTAAAAAGTTTTAAGTGCTGTTTAAAAACTCGACTATTCATTGATTTAAAAAATAATAATTTCAGATTACTATTCTGTGCAATACGTACTATTACCCGTAGAAAACTGACTCTCACTTAAAGTTACGCCTTGTATATATTAAAAATCAAATATGTTATAATCGCATCTGTATGAAACTCAGTTATGGATTGATTATTTGTTATCTCTACAGATTGAATGCAATTGGTATTTGTAAATATCGGTTTACTACTATTTATATTTTATACCGTTAGCTAACAAATATACATACTTATTTGCATGCAGCCGTAACAAGCGTACCATTTCAGCTGCAACTACCAATTTTCCAAAACTTTTCTCTTTGATACAGCGAAAGCGACTCGATTTTAAATGGATGCCCATAATTTATATCGGAATTTGCATGCCATGTTTAAAATAAGTACTTGGTACAAAGTCAGGGACTCTCTTTTTATAAACTTACGTAAGTTAGATGATATTAAACTTTAAGCATAAGTTCTTTATGGCAAACTTTCTCAATTTCGAATTTATTTTGGTAAAGCCACGCTCTAGCATCGAGGATACGTCAGGCTAAAAGTTGCCTTTTAAAACACAACTTTAATATCGTTTAAATAAGGCACTTTAAAATATTAATTTCTATAAATTTTTGCTATATAAACTTGAATAGTATCTGTACAATATCAAAATTTCTGTCATCAATCTAAGTAATGATTATATTAAAATGAAATTTATTTTTAGAAATATCTAATTACAGAGAATCTAGATGAATACCTATCATGATTATTATGTATATTTTTTATATTTGCCACAATTTTTGTTCCTTAAAATATCTAAAATCTAAAAATTTTGTAACAAAAAAATAAATTTTCAAAGGTATTTAGAATTTAGAACAAATAACTCCATATTTTTTTTAAACATGTTTTGACTTGTGGCGATGACTCAGCTACTTAAAAGAAGTTTATGACAACCAATGTACTTGTATATCTTTTATTTTAATGTAATTCAATTAGCATCTAAATGTTCATTGGCGACATAGTATGTACTCAAGGCTGACGCACATTTCTCTGTTAGACAGCATGTAAATTTTATTTTTAACTTCTACATACCAATGCATTACACTGGAAAAAAATCGCCAATAATGTAAAATATATTTATTAAAATGTTGAAGTCTAAACGTCAATTCTGACACTCGCCGTTAAATGACGACATAGTCACTGAATTGTCATTGAGTCGAGACCGTGCTGCCCTCTAAATGTCGATGACCTAAACTCACTTACACCTCCCGAAATCTATAAAACAGGTAGCGATAATATTGGGTCATTTTTGCACATACAACATACAATACACCTTCTTGTTCATACATTTCAGCAGTGTGGAAAGAAATATGATTATTCTTCACTCTTGCAATTCAAAAACTTTTATAAACTGTTGGCATCTAGAGAGTACCTGCTACAATCAATACTGTTGGATTTAATGAAAAATGTAATTGTTATGATTGTTACTCTTATTTTTTACTTTACATTTTAGGCTTTGTTCTTTTACTGTAGCAACGGAGCTAATATACTGTTTCTGCTTATAGCAAACATACTTAGTCTTAGTATTGACTATTATGCCAACGGTCTAAGTAACCACTCTGTATTTAAATATATTTAAGTAGGTAGTAAGAATAATGAAATATTTTCACAGTGCAGATGTACTAAAAAATTATTTCTATAAAAATAAAATAAATAAATAAATACAATCACATAATTCCAACTGATTGAGTTTAATGACTATTCACATATTCAAGTACTGATATAACTGATGTTTCTGTATACACAACCTAAAATGCTGTTTTCAAAGGAACCCAATCCATTTTTTTTTGTAATTGCAGTGGCTTGGTTCACATTCGACCCCATATTATCGGGACCCGGCTTGCAGTACTCCGAGGACAGTACAAAAGTGACAGGAGAAGGATGGGAACATCGAGTTGCCCTAGGAAGTGTTGGCTTCAGCCGAGGGATACACTACTGGGAGTTCACAATAGACAAATATGATGCAGACACCGATCCTGCCTTTGGAATAGCTAGGATCGATGTAACAAGAGACAAAATGCTAGGTGCGAGCTAGTTTTCTACATATTTTTCTCTGAAATTTGTTTTTATTGCATTTTTAACTTATAACTTCACGTTCTAGGCAAAGATGACAAGGGTTGGGCTATGTATATCGACAGACAGCGTTCTTGGTTCCAACACGCCGGCGCTCATGAACAAAGAGTAGAGGGTGGTATCCACATGGGTTCCACCATCGGCGTGCTGCTAGACCTAGACCAACACACCCTGTCCTATTTTGTAAATGAAGAACCCCAAGGGTCCGTCGCTTTCCGAGACCTCTACGGAGTGTTTTATCCCGCCGTCAGCCTCAACAGAGGAGTTAGTGTTACAGTACATACTGCCTTGGATCCTCCTTCTGATTCTGATGAGACTTAGTCGTTGTGTGGTGCTGTAAAGCCTACTTATGATGTGGATGAGAGTTAGACAATTCCACACTTTTCGAAGAATTCGTGGTGTGCTGACACAGATCCCACTTCTGATGTGGGTAATCCCGCTTCTGATGTGGATTATCGCTTTTCTGAAGTGGATAATCTTCTAATCCCACTTCTGATGTGGATGAGTCTTTGCCAGCTTTGGTTATTTAACAGACTTAATAACGATGAAGATAGTGAGTGATAATAGAATGTGACGTAACGTGATGTGACGTTTTTTCAACCGTCAACAAAGATATTGAGGGAAGTGCACCTGAACTTTTAAGGGTTTTTTTGATGACAAAATGTGTAAAACAGTGAATTGAGAAATGAAACAATGCTGGGAAAATTTGTACTCATTTTTAAAATATAATATTGGAACTATATATATAGAGATGAAATTTTTGGATATTTTTTTGAGAAGTCTTCAAAAAATTCTTATTTGAACTTTTCAGAATTTCTAACTATAACTAAACCAAGTGGTCTATAATTATGTATTTATATGATAATTAAAAAAGTATATAAATACATTGCAACAATTTAGAAAAAATATTCTTGTAATACTGGGTGTTTCCTAAGTGCAGAAAATTTAGAGATATGTTCTGTAACTTGGTATAATAAACTTGTGAGCTGCTAGTATGAACACACTGTATATTTTTCAAAAAATTGTTGATCCTAAATAATTTATTGTAATTTTTTTCTTCTAAGAGGATGTCCATTAATTACAAAAGCTCTAAATTTTTTTTATTCCTATCGACATCAAATTTGTTAAAATATCTGAAGCGATTTGAAAATTGCATTAAATTGATTTTTTTTTTATTTTGAAAATGCTGTAACTCGAAAACCATGAACTATGAACCCTATGCTTATTTAACCAAATTGTATTAATTTTAGCCATAGAATACGTTTCTGGATTTTCTTTCTTCTGGATTTAGGAAACATCTTGTTTCCAACAACAAACTCTTAAGAATGAGGCGGTGTCTTTCCTCAGTGAAAACTTGCACAACTGTACTTTTTAATTAAAAATATCGCTTCTTGGATGTACTTAATCAAATCGACACTTATTTACATTACATATCATTATATTTTATTCGTGGTTTCATAAGTTCAGGAAAATATTATTTGATGTCTCAATATAATAGTGGAACGTCAAGTAATTTACTTTCTTTGCTTTAAATGACTTTGTAAATAGTCCGAATTATAAACTTGATATTTGAATATACTTGTAACGGAACAAAACCAGCCCTTAATTGTATTTCCTGAAAGACTGATATAGTTCGACCTATACAAGGACCCCGTAGTTAAAGAAATTGTTATAGTGGGTGTTCTGTATAATCCCATGAGTTGTAAGGTGCTCAAAACTTATTGAAAGAGTCATATCTCATAATTCACATGCAGTATTACGTTTATTGTCCCGAAATTTTATTTGGCCCAAAATGTGTATTATGTATTCAACGCCTCTCAATTATTTTTTGTAATGTCCGTGGATTGGAATGTATCACCTACTTTTAAGCACAGATCGAAAATATTAGCAAACTCTTAAAATTTTTTATTGTACCATTAATGTGGCAGATTTTCCTACGGCTGTACTATATGCTTGGTATTCAGTCAATTTTGATCACCTTTTCCTTTATTTGCCAAGTACTACATGATTGTAACCTGAGTGGCTACGTAAACATTTGTATTATTTGAATTTTTTATTAAATCATTCTTAAACAGAGCGTCAATTTTGTATCCCCTTAATGTTTAACAGGCTTTATATTATGTGTCAGTTTTGGAGCTGTATCATGGGGATTACGGTTATCTTAAGAGGTACTTGTTTTGAAGGTCATGAAAAATTTTAAATTTTTATTTTTGTTTTCAGTTTCTCAACTAAAAGGTTTAACACCTGTTGTTTTTCTTGTCTATTTTTTACTTTTATTTTCAGAAAAATACTTAACTATCCACTTCACTTTAAATTTCAATACCTAAAAAAAAAAAATTAAAAACAAATTTTTTTGTTTTTCATCAACTTCAAAACATAAAAAATGGCAAAATTTCTCTTCCATATTATGTTATTTATCACTAAATTTACCAATTTTGCTTTGATTCGACAAACTTTGTATCTTTTAAGATAATCAATATCCCCACGGTGTAACTCCAAAAACATTAAAAAAAAGTTGAAAAGTACTCATGAAACAAAAACCAATTGATTGTTTTTTTCTTCCATATATTTATTAGTTATACTTTCTAGTCTCTAATTAGTATTACTTCTTATTTTTACCTTAGATGCTATTTATTTCCTCTTTTGCCATATCAATGTTTATTTTTTTATATTAAAGCCATACTTGGTAGCTATATTGTAATTATTATAATGTTATAGTGATTTTTTATATATAGTTGATATTTACTATCATTTATAGCGGTAATATATCAAATTTTATTATATATGTGACCACACTTGTATATAAAGATTTATACAATAAACTTATGAAAAAATGTTTTTTTTTTAATTACACCAAAACTTAATTCATGTCTTGATTTTGATGCTTTTTGAAACCGTAGATTTGATGCCAGATATTTCGCCACTGTACCTTGAAAGCTCCTTCCTAGGCTCCCGCACCTGAAAATTCAATTATTAATATACTGCCATCAGCCCATATGTTTCTACTTACAGCGCCCTTTCGGCGAATTAGCGCTTTCCTGTACTTAAGTTTGTGCTTGACACGTGGATTTCTCTGCTCTTTTTTCCTGTGGGGGGTAAGGCCTTTATTTTTGGACATTTTGTATGTGATGGCACGTTTCTCAACATCTGCAACAAGAGAAAATATATATCTGATATCGCCATATAAAAAAACTATCGACTACCTTCTTCGTTTTGTTGTTCTGTTTCGTTTTCTTCTTTTTCTTCGTCTCCTGAAGAATTCGCCTGATCTTCATCGATCAGCATTTTTTCTTCAGTGGTGCCATCTACAGTTTTAATTTTTTTATTCGGTTGCTTTTCTTCATCAAACACAGCACGCTTTTTCTTACTTTCTTCCTTTTTACTTAAGTTCGCCAAAAATTTTAATGTTTTCTTCCTCTCAGTCTCCCTCTCAATACTGTCTTCTTCAGCTTGCTGTAAGGTAAGTATTATCACAAAAACTTGTACAATTAACTAAAAAAAAAATATTCTTACCATTTCCTTTAGCATTATTTCTATCTGTGGCTTTATGATTTCCTCAAAAACTGGTTCAAGTTGAGAAAGAAGCTGCCGATATTGATACAACCGTTTTATAATAGGATGCTTTTGCACATTCATCTTTGATGCTTTTAAAAGTAGGTACATGTAAATATTTACACAGTAACTACAAAGAAAATAGGTTTAAAAAATTCCAAGAATTTATGTAATGATATACATACTTTAAGATTAATTCATATTGAGTTTGAACAAAATCAACAGCTTTGCAGTTTGGAATTTGTTTTGATTTATGTTTCCTTAACAATGGACTTAGATAATCCTTGACTACCAGCAATTTTCCTGCAAAATAATGAATAGTTGATGAGTAATAAAGCAAATTGTATTCTTACCTTTGAAGTCTTCAACAAGTCCAAAAAATTCTGGAGATTCTTTCTGCAGAATCTGTAACTTCTGCCTTTTTGATAATTTTGAAATATCTGTTTTAATAACTTCTTCCACTTGCACATTATCTTCTATAGTTTTCTACAAATTTTACTCACGTTTACTGTATTCATCGTACAAGATACAACCATATTATTATTACCTCAGTGAAAACTTCCAAAGAAAAATCGTCATCATCGAGTTGCTGGGCTAACTGTTTTTGCAAATTTCTTGCTTCCTCCTCCTCCAATTCTGCTAAATACGCATCCTTTCCTTGAAAACCTCCATAATCTGGATCCACATAATCAGTAGAATAATATTTCCTTTTTTCTTTACCCCAAGCTCGTACATCTGGCAACCCTTCATCACTGTCTTGGCCTTCAATATCGCTCACTGCCAAATCACTTTTCTCATCATCTTCATCATCGTCGTCATCTGGCCCAACATTAAATACTTCATCCTTAAAACCAAGTAAAATAATTACAGTTTATTATCGAAGAACTACAAGTTACAACTCACCTCACTATCAGAGTGTTCCTCTTTTCGGTTCCTAACTTTCTTCAAGAGTGCCTTCTCTGTCTCGTCGTAATCATCTTCAGAGTCTGAAGGATTGTAGTCGTTCAAATCATCATCTTCAGATCTACAAATTGCCATGTTATCTTTATGTACATATATAGTTGTTTATCTTACCCTGTTTGTGCCGGCATATTTAAAAAATATCAAATTACAAATACACGTTACGTTTTGACTTGACAAGAGTTTAATAAAGTGAGGTTAGAAAGTAGAAAGTATAAAAATTAATCTTCTCCTTCGTCTTGAAGAATTCCTTTGACACAAATGAAATTAGTTACAGTTGTTGACACTGACAAACGTGATATTAATAAAAGTAACTAGATTATAGTTGCTTTCGATTTGAATCAATGTCCCTGTTTTATTTACTTGAGATGCCAGATCAGTTATTCTGAATGTTGATTGGTTAATTAGGTGATATTAACTGCCGAGATCACAGGTAAATGAAACACAGTTAATACCTTAGAGCATATACAACTGGAGCATATACATAGTTCTATAATATAGAAGAGAATTATAGAAGTATGCCTGGATTACGTACCTGACGTGACAGACCACAATAACAGACACAAACAGACGACCTAGAAAAACTCAGCGGCGACCATGACATACCCTACCCCGCACCGACCAGCGAGTCACTGACTCAAAAGTAGTGATGGGAGATTTCGAGTGAAAAATCGAGTGGTACTCGATTATTGAGATCACTCGAGATATCTCGAGATGTTTACTCCCACCACTCGAGTGATTATTACGCTACGGTTGCACCCCAAAATGTTAGTGCATACTGCAAATAGTCACTGATTGCGTAACCTTTTTTTTTAGAATAAAACGAAAAAGTGGTTAGGTTTAGAAGTGCGTGAGCTTTTTTTTTTTAGCTACGCTTATAAGTAATATATGACTAATACAAACATATTTGTGCGCCGCTGGGATGAAAACGACCAATATCTCGTATCTCGAGTGATCACTCGATTATTGGAAGTACTCGATTACCGATAACTCGATTATCAAAATTGGTCGATTATGCCCATCACTACAAAAGCAAAAGCCGCGTGCATTCCCTAGCTACAAGCTATTCCCAGAAACCCACTCCACACGATGACTACCCCCTAGTGGGCTAGATAAGCCGACAAAGAAGGAAAAAATCATGACACGAAGAGCGCCCTGCCGGCGGGAAGGGGAAGTCCCCAGAGCGCCTACACCAGCCATGCTTGTGGTCGGGGTAGACGATGGACGGAACCCACCTTCACGAGGTTGCCCAGGCCTACAGAGATAAGGCAGGACAAAGAGGGATAGTCCCTCTCGGCCCCAAATTATCGAGGCCACGTTTAATGCCAAAATAGCGGCACGTGACAAAGTTTGTGATCCTCTTAGGTTGTCCGTGAATTCGAGGTCGCAGGTTGTATGCAGTTGTCGGAGTCTAAATTTTTTACATTTTTATGCCATAACGGAACCAAAATCATTAGAAATGTGACTATGGACAACACTGATTAAACCATATATATAATACTACTATATGGAGTGTATGTAATCTTTACCATGTTTCACTTGTGAAGCCAAATTAGAGTGAACTAGAACTATATCTATTATCTCTTTCACGGACAAAATGCCAAATACGCATGCGCAGAATACCGCGGGAATTTTGTCCCAAACCAAATACAATAAATTTAAGGCTTTTTATATTCTTTTTGNTTCTATATATTTTTTTTTTCAAAAACCCAAACAATGGATCTCTTTAGGCGACGACTACTCATTTTAAACACATGCTGATGAACCACTCAACTGACAACGAAAAAATGCCGCAATACGCGGAAGTAATTAATTTCGTTTTTTTTCACATATAATTTGGGATAGGTCGGAAATTTTCGAAGTGGACTTTCGATTATATATCATTCGAATGATCATTCGATTATAAAATTAATTCGAAAGGTAACCTCTCGATTATTTAATTCATTCGATTATTTCCATCACTACTCAAAAGCAAAAGCCGCGTGCATTCCCTAGCTACAAGCTATTCCCAGAAACCCACTCCTCACGATGACTACCCCCCAGTGGGCTAGATAAGCCGACAAAGAAGGAAAAAATCATGACACGAAGAGCGCCCTGCCGGCGGGAAGGGGAAGTCCCGCAAAGCGCCTACACCAGCCATGCTTGTGGTCGGGGTAGACGATGGACGGAACCCACCTTCACGAGGCTGCCCAGGCCTACAGAGATAAGGCAGGACAAAGAGGGATAGTCCCTCTCGGCCCCAAATTATCGAGGCCACGTTTAATGCCAAAATAGCGGCACGTGACAAAGTTTGTGATCCTCTTAGGTTGTCCGTGAATTCGAGGTCGCAGGTTGTATGCAGTTGTCGGAGTCTAAATTTTTTACATTTTTATGCCATAACGGAACCAAAATCATTAGAAATGTGACTCTATGGACAACACTGATTAAACCAAATAAAGTAAACTAATAAATTATTGCGCGCGCAGTAAGTGTCAAATGAAAAATGTCATTTTAGCGTTTTATAAAATAAAAGTGAAAGTATTACATTTCTAGAAATTATTAATTTTCTGGTATATGCATATATTGTAAATTAATAAATATGTGGCACGAAGCAAGACGTCAAGAAAGAAAGATCCGCGGTATGCTCGTCGATTACAGAAGAAGAGCCGAACGACGCCGTGATTTTTATGAAAAAATTGTGCGTTTTTAACCGAAGATATCTAAAATCGTCATAATTATAATTTTGCTTTTTAGAAAGCAGACCCTACTCAATTCCTGCAAGTACACGGGCGACAATGCAAGATCCATCTAGACCCAAACATTGCAGCAGCAGCGGACAGCGCTGTGATGATGCCCTGGCAGGGCCAGGCTGATAACTTAATAGATAGGTTTGACGTGAGAGCCCACCTAGATTACATTCCACCATTGAAGAAAGAACAAGAAATAGAACTGTCTCAAGAAGAACGTCAACTGAATTATGAACGGTACAGAATCATTGCACAAAATTCATTTCTGGGAATATCCGAGGAGAAATTTCTGAAGCAACTCCATCTTGAGGAACAATTCGGTTACACTGAAATGAAGGGAAAAAAGGAACAGAGGACTGGGGGTGCTGCAATTGGTTTTAACTATGAAGATGGGACAGGTATGGCATATGTTCATTTAAATTAGAAAGTTTAACTATTTGCTGTTTCTAATCGAAGGTATCAGTCAAACTCCTATCCAGGATGACGAAGAATCTGATGACAATAACTCGGACAGTGATTTGGATGTTGATTTAGCAATAAATGTGTCAAAAATGGATTCTGCACAAGCTCATGACATGAATAAGCATGGGAGGAACTTTGGAATGAGTTCTAATGATTTCTATTCGTTTCTTACCAATGATTTGGAAGAAGCTGAAACTTTCAGGTTGGCGAAAGAAGAGGAGCACGAAAAAGCGTTGTTTTCAGGCAGAAAATCGAGGAGAGAAAGAAGGTAAATGACATCTTTTTTATTTAATCTATTTAAAAACTTAACCATAAGTACTAGTATTTATTTGTATTGAAATATATTTACAAGTAAATAACTTTTTTTGTTACATTTAACTAAGTTTAAGTGTTTTTATTATAATTGGATAATTTTTTGCTTTAACCCAAGTTTGGTTATGAATTTTTCTAAATTGGACACAGAGATATACTCATAGTTTTGACGTTTAAAAAACCTTTTTGTAGAAATTCTGCAAATGCTGTAAAATTTATCAATTGAATTTATTTTGAAAACTGCATAAAACTTTATTTTAAGGATAAAGACAATATTGAAAGCCTTCATAAAATAATCATCTATGTTATCCACACAGGCTGTAACTAAAATTGTCCTGGGAACTTTAACGGCATCTACGTCATAAATTAACAAAAAAGTTCATGGTGAATTATAGATTAAAAAAACTACGATACCTTTCAGAGCACACAGGGAAAAGCGACTAGCTAACCGAGTTATAAGCCCACCGAGTTACGCAGCGCAGGCGTCACCTACCCTACCTCTTTTCCGTGATGAAAGCAGATCTAAATCAAGATCTAGGTCAGCTTCACCAGATAACACTGGAAAAATCACGTACATCACTTCATTCGGAGGTAATACTAAGAATTTTTAACTGATTGTGACGTAAAATGTGCCAAAATTATTTTAGACGACGAGGAAACACCCTCTAGCAGCAAACCCACATATGCGGACAAGGTGAAGTATGGTAAATCTAAAAATAAGAAAGAAACCAGCAGTGAGAGGATTGTCTATTATGGTAGAAGGGGGAGTCGTTCTCGAAGTAGGGAGAGAAATTCAGGGAAGAGAAGGAGAAAATCGAGGAGTAGATCTAGAAGGAGTAGGAGCAGAAATACCAGGAGTTGGTCGAAATCTCGGAGAACCAAGAGCAGGTCTAAGTCCAGGAGGAGGAGCAGGTCGAAGTCTAGGCGCAGCAGAAGTAAATCTAAGGACAGGTAAGAACATAAGTTTTAAATGTGAATAAAATTGTTTTTTAGCCACTCAAGTAAGAAACTAATAGGTTCTAAAGTTATCTGAATGGATCTTTCCAGTGACTTTAAAAAGAAACATCAGTTTTGAGTACTCATAAGTATACCTAGAATATTTTTTAAAACAGAATGAAGAAAGCTTTTGTCCAAAGGGCATATTAAATTTTTCTATAAACCTTAATATGTCATTTGATATTCAATATCTTTAATATAGCGTCACTTTTTACGTCATTATTTACATCCGTAAATACTTCACAGAAAAATTGTCCATATTATGTTACGCGAATTTATTTGAAGTAAACTGTAAAACCATAATATTTTAGACGCACAAGATCGCATTCCAAATCAAACGCTGCGGCCAGATCATACAGAAACCGTCGTTCAACCTCGAATTCCTCGTCCTCGACAGCGTCTAGCAGAAGAAGCAAGTCACGCCAAAAATCCCTGTCCCCGGCAAAGAAAAAGTCACCTTCAATCGTCAAATCCCCTCAATGTAAAAGCAGAAGCCCCTCGACAGCGAAAGAGTCACCTCCTAAGGTTTTACCGAGATATTACGGTCGAAGAAAGAGCGATCACAGTTCCTCCGATCTCAGCGATTCTGATCAGGACGACGTCGACATGAAGCCGGTTAACAATCCGTAAGTATCAACGTAGAAAAGATTAGGAGAAGCTTATGTTTCAAATTGTTTTTTAGGGTTGCCAGTGACACAAAGTCGGGACATGGTAATAATTCAGGCACAGCAATCAAAGTCAGTAAGAACCAATTAATACCGTTATCAGTTATGAATTATGTAGTTTTATGCTTTTGTTGTAACATTTTATTTGTTATTGTAATCCGAGGTAAAGCGTACAACTTTTTTTATTCACCGACATCTCTGATCGGGTACGTTTTACATTGTTCATTTTCAGAAAACCACTTCTTCGAGTCTGACCATCATCGAACGGCTTAAGAGGAAGCGCCAGGCATTGCTCAACAGGCAGTGTAAGTACTGTTTTACAAATTATAAACTTTATATACAGTGTGTCACATTACATAAGAAATTACAGCAATAGCTAAAATTGTTTACTTAAAAGTGTAATAATAATAATTTATTTCTCCCGACATCGTCTTATTTTATGAATAAATATGAAATAAGATATAATGTGTGTGCTGTTTAATTATATGTACCCCTGCAATCAATTAGCATAGCCTCGTCTATTATTTTATCGACATGAACGAGTTTTGATTGTGACTCATTTCCTGTTGTTTTTGTTGTTTCTCTAACTGCGCTCTCTCTACAAATTAACCACAATCTCGACAATAAATTGTTTTTACCAATTTTCAATGGTCAGTTTACCGGACATAAATATCACAATGTTGATATAAAAAATCTAATTATTATATTTTATATTATAGAACGCTATTTATGATTGCAGTTAAGGCCGATAAAATAGCAGAGCAATTGAAAACAGAACGAGAGAAGCAAGAGCAACAGACAAGAGAAGACGAGCTGCGCGAAATGGCTATCAAACTAAGAAGAAGGTACTCTTCCTTCAAAATTTTCTAGAAAAAAAACTTCACATCATTTTTTTCAGGCAAAGGGAGAAGCGGCACGCTTACGACAGCAACCGAAGTTCCAGTTCTTCAGACTCAGACTCCAGCGGTAAAAGCAAAGAATCGGTGGCAGAAAAGAGCGGTTCGTCCAGAGAGCACAGTCGCGAGAGAGAGAAAGAAGCAAAACCGTTAAAAAGACATGAATCTCGCTATGATAACCGAGAGAGAGAAAGTAGGGATCGCCGAGGGCACAGTAGGGAAAGGCGAGAGGGGGATCGAGATAACAGACGAGATAAGGATAGGAGGTCGTCATCTTTGTCACGACGTGTCGTTTACAGAGAAGGTGACAGAGACAGGAGGGAAAGGTGGAGAGATGACAGGGATAGGAAGGATTCTAGAAGTAGTAGGGCGCTGGTCGACTATTGATTGCGTTAATCATCGTTAATTTATAAAGAAATCCGCTAAGGTAATTGAATTAATTTATCGTAATTTGTAAAGCACTGTCAATAAATGAAATTGTTTATGTATTTGGTCATTTTATTCATTACGAAAGTTGTTGGTATAACCATTGTATAAGTAAATATAGTATTATATTCCTTATGGCCGAATAGTTGATCAAATTTTAGTTCTCGAATTCGTTACAAGGAGGAGCCATATGTATGTAAACTTGATATTTAATCGTTCACGTTCAATTTTACACTTTCGATACTGCGCCATCTTATGTTCAATAGTTAAATGATCCATTTGAAAATACAGTTTTCTTGAGATGAAATGACGGGATAACGGAATAAATTCATATCACATGACATGGATATTAGTAAAATACCAGCTACTGGCAGATACGACAAAAAAGCTTCAGTTAATGCGGTTTGAGTTTTTATCTAGGGTTTGGGAAATTATTTAAATAAGATAATATTAGTTACATCAATATGTGTGTAATTTAAGCAAGATATTTATTTTAAATTCATTAATTTCAGTATAGCAATAACAGGGCCGGGTGCAAAATAAATTGGGCAGCCGCTTCATAAATACATAAAAAACAATTATGAACGCATATGATATCATGGAGTTATATAAAAAAACAATTGAATGTTGCGTGTTAAAGATATAAACAAAATTAAATTCCTCTACTTTTTCTGGTTACAGAAATATATACATAAGAATATGTCATATGTTTGCTTAGACACATTGCATAATATTTTGTTATTGAAAAGTAAGAAAAATTTTTTAAAATTTTAATTTTAATNATAGAAAGGATAATAAATTAGAAAACATCAAAGAATTTTAGAATAGCTGGGTATACATCAAAACAGAGAGAATATGGGGAAAAAATTAGTTTAAATGTACAGGGTGTAAGTTGTCCTTTTAAAATAAGCGAAAAGTACATTTTTCTTATTTGATATGACACGAAGTTGATTATAAATAAAATTGCTTTTTTTACATTCAAATCAATAAGTACATAGTTAACTTTGTTCACAATTTTCTTTTTATTGGAATTTCATAATTTTTTTCCAAAATATGTCTAATTGGCTAAGATTGGTAATTCCACATAGGAAACTACAAGAAAGCTACAACTCGCCTTTTCGCCGTTAATTTTTTCTGAAAAATTGAACGTGGATCATATGAACTACTCTATTTCCTAGAGAAATATGAAAATTACAAAAACTTCATTCTATTTTTTTGGAGAGTGAACTAATAGAAATGTGTACTTTTATTGAAATTTGAATCCTTTTACATTTCTCTTGAATTACCTAAATTATAAAAAACTTCAATTCTATTTTTTTGAAAATCGATAGAAAGAATAAATTAGAAAACGTCAAAGAATTTTAGAATAGCTGGGTATACATTAAAACAGAAAATATGGGGAAAAAATGTGTTTAAATTTATAGGGTGAGTCTTCCTTTTAAAAATTAATCGAAAAGTACATTTTTTTATTTAATAAAAAACACGAAATTGATTATAAATAAAATTGCTTTTTTTGTAACTTTCAAATCAATAAGTCTTTAATCCGACCTCACCTTAATCGAATATCCACTAATTCGATCCGACGAATGCCCGTTTTGATGGTCCGAACAAAACTCTTTAATTCGAACAAAATTCGGTTTAACGTATATAGTTCGGATTATAAAGTCAGACTACATAATAAAAAGTAACTGCTAAAAACGTAATTCCCCGGCAGTCTCGGGGAAACCCTTTTATGCAAGTCGAAACCTTTCTCGATTAGATCTTTTTAGTTGAAATATTATTGCCGTGCAAACATGTCGATATTTATACGACATATTTTACTATGTTTAGTTTTATTATTTTTTGCCTTCTCAGTAACACAAAATCTAATTCATAATATCAGTGACTATATTGTTATAGACACTGATATTGTAAACATGAACATTTACATATTATGTACTTATTTACTATCCAGTAATCCGAAAATATCGTTAATTCGAACTTATCTCTTCAAGCCCGTGTTTCAATTAGTTCGGATTAAAGTCTATATTGTACATAGTTAATTTTGTCTCTTCACAATTTTCTGTTTATTGGAATTTAATTTTTTTCCAAAATTTATCTTTTTTTAATTGGCCAAGATTGGTAATTACTAATTCTACATAGGAAACTATAAAAAAAGCTACAACTCGCCTTTTGGTCATTTAAATTGAACGTGGGTCATATGAACTACTCTGTTTATTTCCTAGGGAAATGTGAAAATCGCAAAAACTTCATTCTATTTTTTTGAAGTGGTGCATATGAACTACTTTTTGTTTATCTCATCATGTACTAATAGAAATGTGTACTTTTATTGAAATTTCATTCCTTTTACATTTATCTTGAATTACCTATAAAGTTGCAGTTGGAAAATGTAAAAATAAAAAAATTTGGAAAATAAAAAATGAGTAAACCAAATATTTTTTAAGTTCTTTAATAAATAAAAAAACTCGAAGAAATCGATTACAAGATAAATTGCTTTCCTATAGTAAATTCCAAATCAATATTAACAATTAAATTTAAATCATAATAAAGACATTGCCATTACACGTGCATATTCTTAACGCAATTTTGCCGATGGCCTACTCCTGACTTGCCGCCCAGTACTTCACTGTTTCGCGTTCACAATACTAACAAACTCTGGTTTCAAAGAAGCTCCCCCGACTAGGAAACCGTCGATATCGGGCTGTGAGCCCAATTCCTTGCAGTTCGCTCCAGTGACAGAACCACCGTACTGGATCCTGATACTACTCGCGACGTCTGCACTTATTGAGGTGGAAATATAATCCCTCAAGGCTTTGTGAACTTCCTGGGCCTGCTCGGGGGTGGCGGTTTTACCCGTCCCGATAGCCCAGACTGGTTCGTAGGCAATGACTACGTTCGACCTGTAAAATTGGGATAATAAAAGCAGAAAATCAAGAATTTGTCCGTTTGTGAGGATGAACTTACCAATCTTTGACTTTGTCAGCGATGGCTTTTGTTTGTCTGAAAACAACTTCTTCAGTCTTACCAGCCTCGCGTTCATCCAAAGTTTCACCAATGCAAGCGATCACTTTGAGACCGTTTTCTAAAGCAAACGCTACCTTGTCAGCAATCAGTTCATCGGATTCACCGAAGATCTGACGGCGTTCGGAGTGGCCCAGGATGACCCAGTTCACACCAATGTCTTTAAGCATAAGTGGAGAAATTTCCCCTAAAAATAAGGTCTCATAAACTGTTCCAATTTTCTCAAATACAAAACAAATTTTTACTCTATTGTAAGCGTGTTAAGCTAATTTAAACAAATTAAAAAATTTTCACCAGAATTTTTCAAAAATATCTTGTTTTTAAATTTTATAATAATTATACCACATAGGAAAGGATTTATGCCTATTTATCCTTGTTGTGCTTTATCAAGTCATTCAAAATTATTTTATTATTTATAAAATTATTTTCTATTGCAGTTTTACTCTCTGCCACTTGGTTACCTTTAAAAAGGTAACAAAGAGCACCGCTGATGAGCATTCATACAACACATGAACAACCAAATTCGGGTGTTGCCCAGTAATGGTGTAGACAAGAGTTTAAGTTCAGCTTAAAATATGAATTATTATAACTCAATTATTTATTTGACTGGAGAAGACATAGCATAATTTCCAAAAATCTGACCCCTAGATAAAACCGGGTCAAAAACTGAAAACTTAATAAATATGTCTATCTTACTGCACCATTACTGAGGAATAAACCTAGAATTAAAAAAAAGATCATAAAAATTAAATTCACACTGGAGAAAATAAATTACGAAATTGGGGCCCATTTTTAATACTGCATTAATTTTTATGCAAAATGTATATTTTCAAAGAGAGTTCAACAACCACCAAGAAACAAATAACAGTTACATAACATCTAATTTTAGATATTTTTTATCAAGAAAACCTTCAACTAAATTTAAATCCTGTTCCTAGGTATCTCCTTTTGAAAGCGCCAGTAGTAATCAAATATATTTTTTCACCACATAAAATATTATTTCAATATATTTTTTCATAATGGTTAGATTAGGAAAAAAATCATGTCAAATAAAATTGATTCGCTTACCTGTGAAAGCGCCTTTGTCAGCCTTGTAACAATTTTGAGCTGCGACTTCGACGTTTCCAGGAGCATTATTCTTAACGAACTCTAAATAGATAGCGGGCACCCCAACAACCACTTCCGTGTCGGCATTTAAGGGCCCATCTTTCAAAAAGTTGAGTATCTGCCCAATCTGATCCTTATTTCCATTCATCTTCCAATTGCCACCAACAACGAATTTGCGTCCCATTTCTGCGGCTTTCTTTACAGCACCTGTGGAAGCAGATTGACCCTCGGGCTTGCCGTTGAGGATAGTAGCACACTGAAAGAAAAAATATCATTGACAATATAGGTTTAAAAATATTTTAGAATAACAGGAGTACAGTATCTTACTGACTTTTGATGAAAAGCTCCTCAGTACTAATCGACTAGCCACGTTTAATGGTAAAAACCTTAATCTGGTGTACACTGACATTGTCTAATTATTTCTCTATAAATATCGCTACTAATTACCGGAGCGGTACATGGTGGTTCTTTTTTAGCTTCTACTTCTTCAGGCTTAGCTGATTCTGCAGGTGTAACTTCTCCAGCTGTGGCTTCTTCAGGCTTAACTGATTCTGCAGGTGTAGCTTCTCCAGCTGTGGCTTCTTCAGGCTTAGCTGACTCTGCAGGTGTAGCTTCTCCAGCTGTGGCTTCTTCAGGCTTAGCTGATTCTGCAGGTTCTTCAGGTTTAACTTCTTCAGGTGTAGCTTCTTTAGGTGCAACTTCTTCGACTTCCGCTTCTGCAGTTTTGACTTCAGTTTCCTCAGTTTCAGCCATCTTAATTTTCACTTGTCGAAAAACTGACAAGTGATTTAACAGCAGCCTGCTGGGTTTTTTTGTATCTCCAAGGAAATTCATTTTATACGATGAGCATGAATACAAGTGGAATTACATTTATTTTTTATCAGGCTAGGTTTTATCATTAAGCATATTTTAGACTTCATGTTATTGTAATATAGCTGTAAATAAGTACCAAAGGTTATCAATAAAAGAAATTAAAACAATTGCCTCCACGAACTAGGCCGCATTGATTAAAATATTTTGTGGAAAATCTAGGACCCGTTTGTACATTAAAATAAATAGTTACATTATTCTTCAAATGTAGTGCTATTTTCTGTACTTGCTTAAAACTTATGTAACTGATACAAGAAATTTATAATAAAGTATATGCTTTGAATCTTACTTACCCTAGTTTATTAACGGATTTAGAGAAAATTAGTTTTGTTGTAGTTTTGCCGGTATTTTATGAACTTGTGACCAATAACCACTCTATCTTGAGACTGGGGAGACAATGTGACCTCTAATCGTTAAAAGGTCAAATAACCACTCCCTCTTACGTGTCTGAAATCTCATTTGAAATCAAATTTGAAATATTTTTTTTATTTTAATTATTATTTTACTATCATTATTATTATTATTATTATTGATATATAAAACACTAATTTTAATTTAATTTATATATACTGTTTTATAATAGCCTTGTTGAATCTTATCCACTTATAATTTGCAGTCAATATATTCTAACTCGAAGAGTAATTAAATATGAAAATATATAAATATTAAATTATATCTTTCTCTGATATCTAATTTTTCTCTCAAATTAAAAATAAATCATTTACCTATATTTAAATTAGAAGTCCACAAGTTCAAGAAAAATATTTGTATTTGGCGGGTCTTCTAACAGTGACACCACAACACGAAATTGTATGACATCATTTACTTGTACCGTAGTCTACAGGGTGTTATAGTCTAATTAAATGGGCCTTTAAATCGGAAAAAATCTATTTCTCTGAAAAGATACCTAGCTTACATTTTTTAGATTAGATTGAAAAAAAAACTATACAATTCTTGTTGATTTTTTAAATTTCTGAAATTATCCCTTAACTTCTTGTCTCCCTAACTTTATTAACTTTAATAGTAATAGTACAAGAAAAACTCAATTAACCATTTTTATGTAGAATTTTATGCTCTACAACTTTTATAGGAAAATTTTTTTTCTAGCTCGTACCCCTTTTGAGTTAGCTTGAAAAACCCCTTTATTTTCTTTTTTCACCCCTGACCGGGGGTTGAAAAAAAAAATTACTGTCACTTATTGTTATTATACCTCAGGTACCTCAAACTAATTTATACCAAAAATTCAGGCAAGTTGACCAAAATTGCGATTTAAAGGCCCTTTTAATTGGACTATCAGAAGTTTGACTGCCTCAATTTTAACAGACGATAGAATACTTACATTAAAATAAATAAAAAACCTTAAATGACATGGGTCGTAAACTCAACCATTTCCGAGAAAAAAATTATTAAAATCTCCAACTTGATGTACAATATTCCATTAATTACGGAATATTGACAACTGCATGCATAGAACACCATAAAATACATTGTTTATCACTTTTTTGAACTTCTTTTATGCTTAATTCTAAAAAATAATTAGCGTTGTAACAAATTTAAAATTCGATAAAATTCATATGACAACGGTGCGGCGGTTTATTAATACGAGGTACTCCAGCAACCGCCAATACGCAATTCAGTTGGTATCTGGATTTGACCGTGTCGGAGTGTTTTTTGCATACTACTATTTCGTTTTCTTGAGGTATTTTCCAGGAAGTGCGCGAAAATTGGATTCGAAGCTGTCGTGCGTGCATCGAAAATAGTGGTGGACATTTTGAGCATATGTTTTGTACTTGTGCGTTTAAAAATGACTGAATTTTGCTGTTGGGTAAGTACCTAAATTATTTTTAATATGTATGATTATTTGGACGACGTGAATCTTTGGATAATTTAATTACATATTTTTCAAATACGCAATTTGATTAAAAGTTCATAATTACCAAAATTCCAGCTAAAATTTAAGCACAACACTATCTTTGTACTACAAAATCGATACATTTTATTTATTTAAAAACTAAAACAATTGTCTTGTTTATTAAATGTTTCACAATAAGTTGTTTACATTTTTTCCATAGGACAAGTCTGCCACGTGCATATGTGGTGTGCATCAGCATCAGCAGATTAAGCACTGTTGTCACGTGACATGACAATATGCATAATCGCTGTATTTTGAAAACTGTTAATCTTACACCCCTGTAATACACAACTTTTTTGTTCATTTATGATCATTCTATTTCATGCTGAAGTAATGGCAGTTAAACTTTTTACACCCTGTATAAAACAATTAAGCAACCATATATATTTTTTACTTTTTAGTCGTTATTTTTCACAAAAGCGCTATCACTCCCAAATTTCTTTTATTACTCATTCAGTATTCCGTTGTCAGTAGATTTTACGTTACTTACCACGAGCAGGTAATTTTTGAAGGTGGCATCACGTAATAAAATAACCTGTATCCTGGTCTTTTCCCACCAAAGATTTTGTTTTGTTTAAATAAGGAATACGGAATAAGTAAAGGAAAATTGTAGGTTTAGATTTCTCAGGTATCATACTGTACAGTGACCAAAGGAATGACTGCAGAGAAAATTCAAAATTATGAAAAGAACTATAATTTTTCACTAATAGGTATATTATAATTTAATACATTTTTTTACACTCACAATTATTATCACTTACTACTGTCTAAATATGATTTCAGCTATTACTTTTAAAATAACTACAACTAGAAAATACACTGCGTAAACAATATACTTTTTAACAAAATTATTTATTACTTATACATAAAAATATAAAAGACTCCTCATTTTAATATCATTAATGAATAATATTACAGATCGACACACAGTTTTTTTGCCATTTTCACGGTACACACTATTGACTCATTGAAAACTTTTCTGTATAAATAAACGGAACTACAAACACTTCATAAAAAAAGAAATAAAAAAATAAGGTGACTAAATTCAATTTCAACCCATATTCACATAAAAACTATCACAAGTGTTGAATTGTTTGATGAAATCGCAGCAATCGAGTAGAAGCCTGATCGACAGTGTACAAAGTATGGTCAGAATTCAGTTTTCAACCAAAAAACTGCATTTTCAGTAAAAAAAAAATGTACTTAGATCTTGTACACTTAATATTTCACAAGGTTCTTTAAAGGTTTTTCATATTTACCGAAAAGATAGACAGTAGCATGTATTTTTAAAAGGGATGTGGTGTGTATAGGGTGGATCAATTTCGATACTTCTAGGTATATTATTATTTGCATCATTTTTTATTTTTCTATGAGTTTTTAAGTCGTAACATTCTAAACACTTTTTAAAGGTATATCTGGAACCCAAAATTTTTTTTTGTTATTCAATTAAGTGAGCTATGCATTTTTTTCCTCGTATTAGTCAGGCGCTATATGATAACTTTTAGGAGTATAATCAGTTGAATTACCAAGAAATAAAAAAATTACTAAATCAAGATTTTGAGATGTGGCTTTAATTCTCAATTTAAAAAAATCAATCATGGGATATTTGAACTACTTTTTATGTACTGGAGAAAAAAAAATTTATAAAAGTCAAAACTTCACAAGTCATACTCTCGTACCCCTTAAATGAATCAAGACAGACGCAGTTTTTATAAATCGAGCATAGGACATTTGAACTACTTTTTGTCTATCTCCTCGGAGAATACTTAAAAGTGTTGAATTTGATCCTCTCTGTGACAAAATAACATACAAGCAGTTTCAGGGCAGATTTTTCTCTCATTGGAATGTTTAAATATCTTGTTTTCAAGTATTTTATGTAAAAATTTAAGTTGAAGCTGAAATATTCTGTTACTTTCATTTTTGCATACCGTCAAACAGGAATCCACCGGGCTAGACAACTTGGCTGTAGCATAATCAAACGATAAAAAGAATGGTGATGCACAGTTTTTGTTTTAAATTTACGCCCTTAAAATTACTAGTTAAATCTAAGGTCTAACGGTCCAGTAACCTGCTGTATCTTTTTGAGATAATTACAATTATTTATTAAGGTAATCAATAACTTTATACATCGATTTCCTATTACTAGGGCCCCAAAGGCCATGTGGTAGGACAAATGTACATAATAAATAGTGATGGAGTGACAAAGAACGCTTCGCCTTGTCCTTGAATATTTATTTACACCTCTTAAACGTTAAGATTAGATCCTCCTAACTCCAATATGACATAGACAATTAAAGAACTAGCGCGAGAAAATAAATAAACTTATTTACAAAAGGATTTAATTAATTAAAATTAACACGTAAGAGTTGAGAATATATGTACAAATGATTAAAATTCTATTGTATATGTACACCTAACCTACAGTTATATCAATATATAAGCAAATTTGCAAGTAATCACTTCATGTTCATGAGTGCGGTGGGTATACCTTTACACAAACACTTTGGCCAAACCGTCGGCCCCAGCGCTGGCTATGTATGGCCTTGACGGGTGGAACGCCACATCCAGGATGCTCTCGTCGAACTTCTTACGGTGGGCCGTTATCTCTTGGTTGCACGTCTTGTTGTCCAAGTGCCACAATCTGATGGAGCAATCATGCGAACCTACGAGTGCAAAATGTCCCGTCAGCGACCTGATTTATCAAAAGATTGGAGCGCCAAATTTCGAATTCGCAAAGTTTAAAAAAAGAGTTACATATACTTAATATATTTTTAATAGATTCAAGAAATTCCAATCAGAAGCGGGATAATAATTATATTTTGTATAATTAACAACGTTTTTGTTAATTAATCACTATTACTGTATGGTGTGTCTGGAACTGGACAGACCCTAGTTCGAGGACAGTTTTCTTTTCCAATTTTAACACAATTTTGAAAAACAAATTATTGAATTTTTTTAAATAATTCCATTAGTTTTAAGATATTTCAATAAAATTTGGAGGTATGGACCTAACCTAACCTATCGTGAACGAGCCACTACTAACTCCTTAGGCCTTCAAACAGTGAAACTGTCAGAGAGCGACCTGCTATTTCGCAGGAACTGTGAAAACAAAACTTACTAGGCAATTTTTTTTTATTGATAGGAATTTTGAGAAAATGCAACTGTTTTATGTTTTGCTAAAATATTTAGTTTCAGGAAAATATTTAAAATATATCGCTAAATTGATATTTTCATGATTTAGCAAGAATTACTTTTTAAATTAATGAATGTATTAAAACGTTTTTGTTATGCTGCAGTTCCTAGATCTAAAAAATTCACGAAATAAATAGGCTCTTGCAGAAGTTGTACTGGGTATTTTTATTATTATTACTTCCAATTTTAATGTTCAGTGTGTGTAATATTCCAATGTATGAGACCGATAACTTATCGATTGTTTCTTATCGGCGATAAGAAACAATCTGAATTATTTTGGTGAAATATATATCATTACTCTCACACAATCGATTGGGGAGGGGGAAAGAGAGAAAGAGAGGAGAGGGAGAGGGGGAAAAGGGAGAGGGGGAAAAAGAGAGTGAGGAGGGGAAATAGGGGGGGAAAGATAGAGATGGGAACAGAGAGGAGGAAAGAGAAGGGAAGAGAAGGGAAAAGACAGAGGGGAAGAGAGAGGGGGAGGAAAATAGAGAGGGGAGGGAGGGGAAAAAGAGAGAGAAGAGAGGGGGAAGAGATAGGGGAAAGAGAGGGGGGAAGAGATAGGGGAAAGAGAGGGGGGAAGAGAGAGACACACATCTTTCACTTTCTCATATCTAGCAACCTCTAGTGTTAAATAAATACCAAACGTATTACCCCAAAAACATCCCTTGTATCAAATTTCTCAGAAGTATTTTAAAACGCAACCATTGTTATAAAAAAAAAACTACTAAAAAATAAACTGTAACACATTCCAGCAATGAAGCGAATAAGTATCTACTCACCCGACAGCAAATACAATCCATTGGGGTCCACAGCCAGACTGGTGACGGCGTCTAAGTGCGCCACCATCAGGTGCACCATTTTGCCCGTGTGGTTGTCCCAGAACCTGATGTGCCGGTCCTCGTGTGCAGTGATGGTGAGTGGCAGCGTGGGGTGACACACTATCTTGTTGATCTGCCTGGTGTTGATGCCCTCGACGGCCGATGGCTCAAAGTTTATTACCGGCTTACCAGTCTCTATGTCGAAAATGACACAGTGCGCGCTGGAATAGGACGCCACAATGCGGTTCGGATCGTCCCTCACGAAATCCACGCTGGAGGGTATCCCATTCTGCTCCGAGGTGAAGGTTGACAGGAGTTGTTGCTGAAATTAGAAAAAACGTGAAGTAAACATTTCTGAATTTTCGTTTCCTTCAAAATTTACCTTAGAATGTGGTGACCATAGCTTGACGGTGCCGTCCGCGGAACATGACAGCAATTGTTGCTTGGAATTTAAAACGGACAGGCCCCACACGGCATCCGAGTGGCCGTGCAGGGTGCAGTTGAGGATTTCAGGGTCATAGAGGTCGTAGGGGTCGATGTTGGAGTTGGGCACTGCCCAACAATTAATAAAGCCGTCCAAACCGCCAGAATAGCAGTGCTCACCTGTGCCTGAGATGGCCAGACAGAGAACTGGACCTGAAGAGAACGTCACACGACAGATCAGATTTTAATTTTACTTCAGTTTTTTATATTAATGGTCACAACATCTTATTATAATAAGGGTACAACAAAAATATACTTAAAGTCAAGATCAAGGTCACCAGAATATTGATTTCTTAATAACCTATGACTTTCTTTCTGGAACTCTTTTTTTCTAGCCCTCAATCCTGAAAAGTTATCTTTCTTTTGGCAACGCCCTGTATAATTTAATTGTGTGTTTAATTCAAGATGTCAGAGAATTCAGAAAAAGTTATAACGTTTATAGCTTCTTGATAATGTAAATCTATTGAAACGCCTTAAAATTACTAAGAATCCGATCGTACACATAAACGTACCCCAATAAAACTGCAGCCTCTCCATACAAACACTTATTCTTGTTGATAAAAAAGTTACCCGTCAATCTACAACTTACCAGTGTGGCTTCTGAAGGTGTACAATGGCTCTACGTCGAGCGACGCGCTCTTCTTAGCCGGCACGGTCTTCTGCAGGTTCCACAGCTTCAACGTGTGGTCCTCGCTAGCAGTTATGAGGACGTGCTCGGTGGGGTGGAACGCCAGCGCCCTGACACCGTCGAAATGGCTGCGCAGGGTGTATCGCGCGTTCCATGTTTTCCTGAAGGCCTCCTTGCTGCTGGCGATATCGTACGTGTTCTCGGCGTCATTGTTGACAGTCAGCTGAGCCAGCTCCCCCAGGCCCAGGGTGGAATCCACGTTCTCCTCGTCGTTGATGCCCATGGGTCTCTTCGGGAGCGCAGCTGGAAACGCGGTTATTAGTTATTCTCTAACATTCTTGTAAAAACATTGATTCTAAAAATTTTTCGAAGATTCTCTTTATTTTTCAATATTTGAACCCGAAATTCTACTCTTACGGCTGCTGTACTGGGTATTTTTATTGCATTGCCCAATTTATGTGTTTGGTATGCATAATATTGTGGCTAATAATGAATAAAATGGATTACTTTTGTAGATATTGGTTATATTATCATATGCATTGTGTAAAATAAACCAAGAGAATATACATGGAAAAAATTGTGAATACCTTGTAGACAAAAAGAGTTATTATCCTAATTAATCGCGTTAAATTAGAATAGTTCTAATGAAAAATGTTCATTTGACCACAAATTTCCTGTCTTTATCAACTGGTCGTATAACTGTGAATCATATATTATTTTACAACACACGATAAAAACTTTAAACAAAAATTTACATATTAACATTTACCATGATATAAAAATGAAATATGAAATAAAATTTGAAAAAATGTATGATGAAAAAGATCAACTTACATTTATTTTTATTCCAATCTGATTGCTCTGTCTTAATGTCCTGCTTCTTCTCGGTATCGGATATCCGATTCAGTTCGTTGAACACCTCTAAAGCTATCGCATCTACATCATCGCCTAATCCTAGATTATTATCGAGTTTATCTACAAAAATATCAGCTGTAAGCAATTAAGCCTCAATTAAAATAAACTCCAGATGTGCAAAATGTACTTCAATTCAATTAGAAAGCCATCCCAGAATAAATATGAAATTAATTTGTTTTTAAATCAAGTAGTGTCGTTTTATTTTTTTTTTTTTACTGTGCTTTGTCTTGTCTACGCCATTCCTGGGCAGCGCCCGTATGTGTGTATCAATATCCCTGGTTGCCTTTTTAGACAAACTGTGTAAGACTGTATGAAGTTTTGCAATAGAATTTAACAAAAACAAACATGTGATAAGTGTTCCTGAAGGTTAAAAGTAGGCCCCATATAAATATGATCCCCAATCAAAGTTACACCCCATATAAAGCGTCATGAGTGTCGAGAGTTGAACGAAAGCAAATAAGTTTTGCATTGCACTGCATTTTTTTATTATTTGGAATCTTTTTTTAAAGTAATTTTTCGCAAAACCAAATTGTTTTTGTTCCACCCCCACATTCCGAACATTTGTTAAACTCCGAATGTATTTATCAGAAAACAAAATGATACTAAAAAATTGTAACACATGGAATATATAACACATGATTTATACCCAAACTCACCTTTCTGTTTACCAACTTTTACGTCGTCCTCGATGTCATCAGACTGTTCGATATCGACATCATCATTCATGTCGTCATCGTCGTCCATGTCGACGTCCGTGTTAGATAAGAAGTCTAAGTTGGCCATTACCGCCGCTTCCGTATCCAACATTATTGCTTCTGCTAGAGAGCTCGGTTGCGATTTCTTCGCTGGTGTTCTTCTTCCTGAATAATAATAATAATAATAATTAAGAAAAAATAGGAAACTATACGCAAACTCATATAAGGAAAGAATGATATCAAAAACGGAGAAAGATGAATAATAGACTTAAAACATACACCAAACAGATATTCTTACTTCTATAATAGAGTATACCCATATCATTACAATACAACACTCGTTGAATAAACATCTCGTGTAAATCAATATAGACCACAATACTCAAACTTTTCCACAAAAATCAGTCATTCATGATACATGTGATATAATATGATCTTTTTTAAGTCAAAAATGGTCTCATGGACTTGGATTTTTCCGGAAGCATATAGGTACAAGAATTGTAAAAAAAAGATCCAAGGGTAATTAGTTACAATGCGTTAATAAAAGTGAGTCATACAATTTTTTTAAATGTTTTCGTTAAACTGTTTTTGAGATAAACGCAGTCAAAATAGGGTTTCACTCATCAATTAAAAAAAAAATGAATAAAACCAGTTATGATACGAATTGATGTTAGTGGATTAAAAATAACACTGGCTCCAGTACACTTCCTTGAAGTATTCCATACTCGTTGGTTGTGATTTAATATTATTTATATTCATTATTTGCTTTCTCTTGGATAAATAATCTTTTAACCAAAATGGAACTGTTCCTTAGAAACCACAGTTCTCTAATTTTTTTAGTAAAATGTGGCAGTTAATTATTTCAAAAGCTCGTTTTAGGTCTAAAAATGGCGAATACATATTCATATTATGATTATATGAATGATTACGTATTATGAGGTTATTTTTGGTATTCTGATAGTTGTTCATTACACAAGTTTTAAAACTTTTGTAATAGTGTGTTTATAGAAAATTTATCAGTGTTAAATTTTTTTGGATAAGTATTAACGGTACCAGTTTTAATTGGTAGTTGGGAATATTTACAAAATGTATTTAAATGTGCCCAATTAGGTTGCTGTAACAAATTAATTTCTCATTTATAATATCACTTAAATAAAATTTGTTATCTAATTTATTTATAATTTTGCTCAATTCCTTTAAATTAATTCAAATTGTTAAATTATTAGTTGCTTAAAAATCAGAATCAGTGTAGCAATGTATATAATTTTACTTTATTTTTAAATAAATTCAAAAATGTTTATAAAAATCTCACCAAACAAAATAAATTTAATTTATTTTATCTTTAAAATAAATTTAAATTCAAACAAATTCTAATTCTAATCAAACTAATTCAAACCATGTTCTGCGATACTAGAAATATGGGTATGAAAAGATATCTAGCCCCACAGACAACTGCTGATATTGCGGAGACAACTGCAATATGGATAAGATGCAACGGCTAGCACTGAATTGCATCAATAATATCTAGTAGACAGCTAGTAGTAAATAATTATGCAAAATGGAAACTAAAAGATGTATCTAAGTGTAATTAATACAAGAACACTTACCTGATATCTTCAAATTGTTAAAACATGCAATCGTTCAAAGAAACATTTTGTATTCTTGCTGTCCTATTGTCATCCGTGACAAAGACTGATCACATGAAAAATAGCTACTAAAAACAGCTTGAAGTCATCACATACAAGTGAGAATTTGTTACAAGATTGTCACAAATATCATTAATGAACATATTGAATATCAGCGGGTCTAGAATTGAACCATGAGGTACTCCCGAAGCACCAACAATTTCAGTCGATAAAAAACGTCGACATTGAACTTTCGACATGCCAAAATTTGATGAAAGTGGTTTTAATAAAATTTTTATCACCTTTCTTAAATATAGGGCAAATCTTAGCTTTAATCTAAATACATATTATAATAGTCCAAGCATTATAGAGAAGTGTTTACAGTTATTACGTGGAAAAAAAATATGACCGTATAGGAAATTAAATTTTAAATTGAGTTTCATGCTCTTTAAACTCGATCTAAAATGTTGAACATGATCAAAAAGGTTCTCAAAGTTGTAAAAAACGGTTTTTGTAAAATAACTAAAAAAATATAGCTCCTATCGAAATATTTTAACTGAGAAAGTTGTTGGTTTTCAAAAGATTTATCGAAGTATCGATTGTTTTGTTACATTTCGAAATATATCGAAAAAACCGATAAAAATCTTATCTTTTGTCTTCTTCAGAAGGTCATAGAAAAACATTTTTTTTTTATTCGTGAAAAAATGTCAACAATTTCTTTCTATAAAAGTTGTTGTCATAAAGTAAAAATTCAAATAGTTACCTATTTGAAAAATTACATACCCAAAAAAGGTGCAATTTTTTATCCTTAAAATTAATAAAAATTTTTAATAGCGTGGTATTACAACTCTTTACAAAGAAAATAAATTAAATATCGTTACTCTAAAGCCATCCGCTGAGAACATTTAGCCAATTTGTGAGAACCCCTTTTTTAAAAAAATCGATATATTTCCAAAAATAATTAATATTTTTAAATTTTTCAAAAATTGACTTTTTTGGCTTGCCACAGGCTATGCTTACAGCAAAATAATGCGTATGGAAACGTAAAAATTGATGTCTGATGTGTCATATTAAAAATAATTGCCAAGGAACATAATGATGTATAGTACTAGTACTAATTTTCGATGCAATCAGTTATTTACTTAAAATTTTTTTTTCGGTGTAATAGAATTACCCAATTATATAAGAACAGCAATTCGTTATTTNTTTTTCCCAACTCCCATAAGAGCCTGTGTAAAAGAGCATAATTTTTAAATTCATTTTTCAAAAAAACTACGTTGTCAATCGATCTGATATTTTTACACAAGTCAGTTTGCATATTTATTAACAGATTTCAATTGCTTTGAAAACATTCTTACCATTTTTCTTTTGGTATCGAACCTCCTTAAGTTAATAATTAATTAATTATAGCTGTTTGAAATTATCAAAATGTAACAGCAAAAATGAAACACCTAGTATTAAATGTGTTAATTTGATGGTATACCATAATTTAGCGTTATCTATGACCTTTATAGGTACCAAAAATTTGCTTGATATCATGCTCCTGAAAGGAATTACTAGCATCTCCGCGGACCCTTGCACCTGTCAAATTTTTTCTTATCTATAACTCCTAGGTATAGGGAATATTTAATAGAGTGACCCTCAAATTTCATGTAGAATATGAAAATGCACTATATAGGGTATCCCATTTAAATTAACGAAGTTGGTGTCAACTTCCGGTATAACCAGAAGTGCTTGAAAGTTCTAGATTTTAGTTGTGTTCCTAGTTGTGTGACATTGCTATGTTGTCAAATTTTCAAATTTTTCGGAGCAGTACTTTCCTAGATATCAATCGACACAATTCCCGGTGGAACACCCTGTATATCTACTTTAGTATAATATTGTGCTTTGTTTATTTTTCACAACTTTATGATTTCATTTATAATATTTTTACAATGCTGCCAATCAACTTCATTTCTACTATTAATCTAAGTTCAATAAGTTAAACCTCTATTCTTAGATTTACTTTGTATCTCTCAATCATACAGAGGAAATCTGTTGATTTAATTGTATATTATTTAATAGGGGCATATATACATTTTGNAAATCTAAATTAAAAACCAAATAAATAAATAATATTTTCATTTCATTATCAATTTCAAACTGAACACCATTCTGAAAGTTACTTTCATTATGTTTGGTGTTAATTAGTTTTAAATTTTTCCCACAGTTTCTATACAGGGTGTCGATCGATATCTAGGAAAGTATTTCTCCTTTCTGGAAAATGTGACAAAGTAATTTCAAGACCAAGAACATGTAGAGAATCTGCTGTTTTTTTCCATAAATAACAAACAAATTAAAATAATTCTCATAAGTATGACTTAAACGACCCCCAGGCATTTTTATTTAAATTTCCGGCAAACATTATTCAGACACAACAATAATTTGACAACTAACTTGACAAATGTCAAGTTATATTAATTGTTTTGGAGTGTTTCTGGTCATGGCCAATTTGAGAACAGGTCTGATAGGAGAAAGTGTCCAAAAAATAGAAAATTTCAAATATCTCTAAAAGTAATAACGGCAATCCTAACAATGCTTATATGGCTTGAAACGAAACTTCAATTTGCATATGACAGAGTAAAAAAGTGCAGGGTGTTTCACTTAAGTTAATAATTAATTAACTATAGCTGTTTGAAGTTATCAAAATGTAACAGCAAAAATGAAACACAGTATTAAATGTGTTAATTTGATGGTATACCATAATTTAGCGTTATCTATGACCTTTATAGGTACCAAAAATTTGCTTGATCATGCTCCTGAAAGGAATTACTAGCATCTCCGCGGACCCTTGCACTTGTCAAATTTTTTCTTTAAAAATTAATATCTCAAAATTTATAACTCCTAGGTATGGGGAATATTTAATAAAGTGACCCTCAAATTTCATGTAGAATATGAAAATGCAATATATAGGGTGTCCCATTTAAATTAACGAAGTTGGTGTCGACTTCCGGTATAACCAGAAGTGCTGGAAAGTTCTAGATTTTAGTTGTGTTCCTAGGGACATTGCTATGTTGCCAAATTTTCAAATTTTTCGGAGCAGTACTTTCCTAGATATCGATCGACACAATTCCCGGTGGGACACCCTGTATATCTACTTTACTATAATATTGTGCTTTGTTTATTTTTCACAACTTTATGATTTCATTTCTAATATTTTTACAATGCTGCCAATCAACTTCATTTCTACTATTAATCTAAATTCAATAAGTTAAATCTCTATTCTTAGATTTACTTTGTATCTCTCAATCATACAGAGGAAATCTGTTGATTTAATTGTATATTATTTAATAGGGGCATACATACATTTTGTAACAAGATCTGTACAAAATAAATTACATTTGTGCAGATTAATAAAATATCATGAAAAAATAAAACAACTCTATGGACATTTAAAATTTTTGTTTCATCAGAAAACTTCAATTCAACTGGTACATATATCTGTTATTAGTCACATCCCAGTAAATTATAATTTACTTATATTCGGTTTCTAGCAAAGAATATTGGAAATCAAACATGTTTTTTATGTTTTATTAGATAAGTAACTGAATATTACGGCAGAAAATGTCACTTTTAAAAAGTACATTAGGATATCCTAATTGTTTTTTTTTTGTAATTGGTCATTTATATTCACAATGTTCCTTAATTAATTTTTAACTTCTTTAAACCTGTCCTTTTGTTTGACGAGCGGCAGCACAAGCGCCACATTTACCAAACAACGTTGCAATAGCAAAAATCTTACCTTGAGTTTCACTGGCCCGCTTGTTGGACTCGTTCCCATTCACCGAACCGCCATTGTGGTTCTCCTCCTGTTCAGCGTTGTTGTTGTTCAACCCGAGCAGCGCCCTGACCCTCGTAGACCGCACATCTATGATCCTATCGGTGTACCCAATCTCCTGAAGGTACTGCCGCAGCAACTGCCTGCCCTGCTTCCAGGTGGAGTTGGATACTGACACATAGGACTGATCTGCATCCAGCTGTGATTCCCCAGACTCGTCTATGACGGGCGGCTTCATGTCGCCCTGTTGAAGGTCGGTGCCGTACTTGAGCTTGTGGAACTTGGCCCTCTCCTGCTTCAGGGCAAATTCCAACATCTTGATGCGGCGCACGAGGTCATTCTTCAGGTTCTCCTGGCCTTTCCGCTCGCCCTGGAGGAACGCTATACGAGCCTGCGGAACGAGAGCAAGTACTGCAGTAGGTTGTGGAATAATGAAAGTACTTAAGCAGTGAAAACTGTGTAAAGGTGGCTCAAGCATGAAAGAGGTTTGTTGATTAAAAAAACATTTATTCTGGTTTTATATGTGTATACTGCCCGATATTAGTGGATTTATGGCTCTCTTTCTTTCTTAATTAGCTGATTAAACTGTTTTCCTAAACGGCTTTTCTTGCCCGTTTTGCTTTCTCATAGATTTAAATTATAGTTTATAAAACCTCTTTCTCATTTATCAATCATTGATCCAATAAAATGTACAGGAAATTGACCAAGTTATATAGGTAGGTGCATGTAATACATTTTCCTAGATTCAAAGATTTGGCTAAGAAATTGGAGGCAATAGGACTGATTCTAATTTAATAGCCACATAACCCTGAAAGTATAACTGGTGGTTCTGCTGACAAATGGTGTTAACTGTGTACTAGATATTGGTAGTGTAATTTAATGCTAGTTGGGACATATAGCCCATAAAGTAATTATTGTTTCCCGCAATATCAGCAGCTGGAAATCTTGTCTGTGGTCTTTCACATACGTAAATTTCTTGCTAGAGTATCAATTTCTTAAATAATTTATTGAGTCAATATAGTTAAATGAGAAATGCAGTGAGCAAGTTTAAAAAGATTGTCTTCTTTTAAATTTACTACAGTCGTTAGTAGACATTTGATGGACTTATTTTCACTTTAATGTAAACTTTCAACTTTTATAAGTACTTTTAGGTGATGACAGTGTATTTTTCCATATAGGTATGTGAAATTATTAAAAATAAAAAATTACTTGTTTCGTAAATATCAATATTGTATATTTTTGAAAATAATCGTTTTTATTGAAGGTTTTGACCAATTATAAGTAGGTAGTTTTTATATGCTTTATCCGTTATTTTTTCCATTGCAGATGCTTGTGTGATATTAGTTAGGCTAAGTATAGTTAATTTTAAGGATCTTTTTATTTTTTCTTCAACCACCTCCAATTTTTTTGTGTTATACTGCTTATTTAATAAGATACTATAATTTTTCATTTAAAAAATTTGTTATTTCTGATTGCCTTGAAATGTTAAAGCCCTGTTACAAATTGAAAAAAAATATTAAAAACCATAATTCATTAAAATAAAGGCTGACAATAATCGCATAAGTGCCCCCCAATCAATTTACTTAGTAAAGCAATTGGAGCAAGTTTAGATATGATGAACTAGATTAATAATTATTTAAAAAGAAAACTAATATACCTAATTTGACTGTACTATATACTATATCCAATAAATTAAAAAATGACTATTAACTGCATGTTGAATGCAAATTATAGGAAATATTTAATTATTGATTCTTTATGTAAATAAGAAATTGTTACAATTGCTGTCAAGGTCATAAGACATTTAATAGGCATCTGCATTAATTGCAGTTAATGGATTGTTTTTATAAGCTGTTACAAAGTAAACAAATGCAATGGACTGGTATAACTTTTTTTACTGGCTTTATAGACGCAGCATGTACACATGATATCTATTTCGGGATAAGATAACATTAAATTTTTTAAGGTTTTACGTTTATTTAAATATGACCAACTAACTGCTAACATTACTCAAAATATGAACAAATTACGATTGTGTGGCATTAAAATTTTATCTCTTGAGATATCGGAGAATTCATTTTAATAAATTACTGTAATATTAATGAGATAAATTGTATTTTGAAACACTATCAAATTATTTTTATTTTAGTTTGTTCCATACTCAGACTGAGCCAGTCATATTAATAGGTAATTTTTAACAAATAAAATTCATTTGGATGAATAAATTGAATTTGAAAAAAAATTCTATTCACTTCCTGTACAACTTACCCTGCTATAGATGATAATGTTATTTAAATAAATTGCAAGTTATTTATGACACTTAAAAAAATATGAAGTGACAACTAACTATTCAAATTTACAGTTTGATGAATCACATTACATTAAAATTAGATATTTAATATTCTTAATACATAGGTATTTGCATTGCAAAAGGAAGCTACATTGATAGAAACTTTATTTTATATTGGATGAATGTTTAATTAATACTAAATAGTTGGTAAATACATAATTAATATTTAAGTAGTTTCCTGAAAGCATGCAAATCCTTTTATATGCAGAATGAATTGTGATAAAAGATGTAAATTTTTGTTTATTGAGGCATTGTTGTATTCAAGAAAATTGACATTTTCCGCATAGTTATGTTATGGATTTTGGCAAGATAAGGTGTTGCCCCGATTGTATTTTTTGGGTAATTAGACTTACTTGCAATTCGGCTCTATCGACTTCCCATTGAGATCTTTCTAATTCGAACCTAGCCCATTCGTGTTGGATAAAATGTAAAATCCCGGGTATCGAATAATGGGATTTTGGATTTACTTCTTCATTCTGTTTGTTATTCGCGATGGAGCCACCCTGAGGACCCATTTGTCCGCCGTTCTGGTGATTGAGCGAGTTGTCTTCCATTGTGACGGATCCAAATGTAGAGAATTTCATATGTCCACCATTGCTCTCAGATCGCCATTTTAACTTTATCAACTATTCACTATTTTCACTCCAACGATTAACACGGCAATACGCTCATTCGCACATTAATAATTTACTTTAAACTTAGATTATTGTTCTGTCCGGTTTACCATACAAAAAACATAAATTTTCGAGGAAAATTTTACACTCCAACTTCCAACCAACCTAACATCTGGTGAAAATCGCCTCTCCTTTTCTCTCACACCCACTGCATAGCGCCATCTCTCTCTGCATGTCAGCCACCCGAATCCATCCCTGCCTATTTCCGTTTTGGTTACGTATTTACACGAAAATAATTCGATTTCAAACAGCCTGAAATTTAAATTATTTTTAATTGTGATTAATTTGTTCGCCTCAAAGTTACGACTTCGTTGTAATGGTTAATGGTTTTGCTATTGTCATCCCAAGCAATGAAATTAAACACAAACATATTTAAAACAAAAAAGAATATAATGATTTGTAAGATAATTATCTCAATATGTAGTTCTATTATTGCCGAATATCTTCGACATTTTTATAGAGATTGAGATTTTATAAGTAGAAGAGATGTCTTATAATCAGCTTTCTAATTAAATGCCCCTTTAAAGAACAGTTCTATATACAAAAGCATAATAGTAGTAGTAATATTGTCTGTAATTAAATCAAAATTAATTTATTTTTGTAAAAAAACGATCTGTCCAATTAGATGTAATAAGTTTCCTATAATATTCTAATTAATGTTTTACAATCACCTCAAAGATGGCAGGATCACTGTCAATAATAAAGTCCCTAAATATCAATCTGGGGAGTTTAATACAAAGAACAGGTGTTCTGTGGTTTAATACATTACAATTTTACTACTTTTCATCTATGCTACTTTACTCTTTACACCGTCTAGGTAAAAAAAGTACTAAGTAAAATAAATAATAAATAAATACTTCTGGGACACAAGAAACGAAGATATGTACTTAAAAATTAAAAGTTTATTATTAATATTTCAGAACAATTAAAATATATTTACACTATCACATTGCAACATTGATAGTAATTATTACAGTTTAGTGCTCTATATATTTACATTTTGTGAATTTAAGGGTTATTTTATATAAAAATATTAAAAGTAATTCTACAATTTGAATAACGAGGAATATAAAATTAATTCGTTTCGTAATTAATTACAAAAATTCCTCACACCAATCGTTTAAGCATTGCCAGCAATCGGAAGACTGTTTAGAATTTGCTGAACATGTGTCTTTCATCCATTCCTTAAATAGTTCTTGGTTCTTCTTTAGCACCAAAAATTGACCTAACACCACATATGCCTAAAAATAAAGGAATTCTTAACCTGCTGACTTTAAAAATAAAACTAGTAGGGAGATAAGTATATGTTATTTTTTTGTAATAGTATTATCCATATTATTTACACTGTGAAACTTAAATGTAATAAAAACTACACGTCTACTGAAAAAATGGCAAGAAGCCTCAATTTTCTAAACTAACCTTATCGAAGCCTGCAGCTACTAATCTTTCTCCTAAAACTCCACCAACTCCGGCTAGATCCGTTACCGGCTTATCGCCCATGGGTTCTGCTACAAAATTACGGTGCTTTTGTGAGGTACTCGACATTTTTAATTATTTTTATTTTTGGTTATTACTTCTTAACACTTTTAGAACGATATACATATACAAGATTGAGGAACAAAATTAGTAAGCGTCAAAAGCTGACGAATGTGATGAACTGATGAAAAACAAAGGATAGCGTCTATTTTTTAAATTGGTTATTTATTGTGATTTGCCAACATTAAGCAAATATAAGTTCGTTTCTAGGCCAATTTTCAGGAACACACATATAACCAACAGTTTGTTTAGTAGATTAGCGGTCAAATCAGGTCCAAAAATAAAGGAACTAGCAGGTCATTTTTTATGAAGAAAATAATTAAAAAAGTAATTATTATTTACATGAATTTGGCAGCAAATATATGAAAGATTTTTCGATAAAGAATTCAATTTTTTTTTGTTCTAAATTAAACCAGTTAAAGCTTTTTATCATCACATATCGATTTTTATGGACGACATTCGATGTGTTGTGTTTATTTATATTTCTGATGTTTTTCTGTCATTCTGGCACTTTACCAGTTTTGCCCTGTGCAGTGTGCAGTGTTGTAATTGTAAACATTTTTATGCGCATGATGAAGATGAAGAAACCGTAAAAAAATAGAAACACTTCTCATGAGTCCTGGAAGACGAATTAACAACGTAAAGGAAAAGATTAATAAACCAAAACAAACCTTTTAAAAAGGTAACCTCAAACTTATTTCGGAAGATTCTCTTAACCACAAGAATTTAAAATGACTATAACTAAAGAGGCATTCGTGGATTTACAAGAAAAATATACTAAGGTAATGAAATTGCTGGAGGAGGACAGCAAGTTGGATCCAGAAACTGAACCGTTTTTATCAAAGTATTCAGCTCGACAAATACTCATCGGAATGAAAGCTAACATTGAGAATTTAATCAGAAATCAATCTACAGATGGACAGGATAACGTCAAAATAACTGGTAAGTTTTGTGTAACAAGAGCACTTATATAATTAGTAATAAAAGGAATAATCTGTAGGACTTTCCCCTATATTTCTAATGATTTCATAATTTTCAGCGATGTTGGGTGTAATATACTTGTATTTGGGAATGGTTGCTATAGACACAGAGGAAATTTCCACTGGAGAGAGACATTTAGAAAAGTGTAAAGAAACTATAGAAAAACACCAAGAAAAACCTGAAATGATACTGTTAACTCTAAACATGTACAATCAGTTTGGAATATTATGGTCCCAACGGGAACCTGAGAAGTCAAAAGTTTATTTAGAAAAAGCAGAGCAATTGTATCTAAAATACAAGGAGGGATGTGAAACTCCCGTGGATATTAGCGACTTATTTCAAGTAAATATTGAAACTTACGACACCGAGATCGCTTTGAAGAACTTGGAAAAGATTCATACCCTTACATTGTATTATTTGGCACAAATTTATGGCGCTATGAAAGAGGCTTTGAAGAGTTCAATATATTGCCATATTACCCTGCAACGTCAGCTACAAATGAGCGATTACGACCCTATAGACTGGGCTTTAAATGCTGCGACACTTTCTCAATTTTTTATGGAAAAAAATGGATTTAAGCAGGCGAGACACCACTTAGCAGCTAGTTCTTACATTCTCGGGGAATATGAGAAGGAATTGAACACTATAATGGAAAGAAACGAAGCGTTTGATGCCAAAATGGAAACGTTCAAACATAGAAGCGCTGACGTGGCAAGATGTTGGGCAAAATACGGGCTTTTATTGCTGGCGAAGTCTAAAGAACGTCTTCTAAACCACACGGAAGATATCGATATTAATTGTTCCATGTCGTCGGATCTTTCAAAGTTAGAAATAACGCCGGACTCAACTATATCGAGCGAAGACTTAAAACATTTAAATTTTGAAGGAATCGATGTAGCTATGTATGAGAGCCAAGTGACTGATCAGTTTATTTTAACATTGGAAGATGCTCGAAAATTGTTTTTAAATGCTCAACAGTGGGCCAGTAAAGCACATGAATATTACACATTAGATAGTTTGGCTTCGGATTTTATCGAGATTGTTCTTGACCAGACGCAACTTTATTTGAACTTGTTATTTTTTGAGGACAATCCCGAAAACCAAGCAAAATTGCATAAAAGACGAGTGAATTTATTGGAAAATATTCTCGACAAAGTAAATTCGCAGTATTATCTGCAGTATTGCCGTCAGGTTTGGTTCGAGTTGGCTCGCACTTACGCGGACATACTCGACATTAAAGCAGATAAGTTACGTGAGACTAACAGCCGTCCGACGCCTCAAGCACTGTCCAAAATGAATAGTTTAGTTGAGAAAAGCATTTTGCAATACAACAACTTCATTGACTCGTTCAAAGACAAGGTAACGGGGAAGCTGCCTGATAAATTGCCTGAGGATGTCGAGAAACCCTTTCTACAGGCTTACTTCCATATAGCCGCCTTATATGGGCGTTACGTGACGTTGGATAAGCAGGTGCAACTGAGGAATACCGAAGCGAGTCTGGAGTATTACAAATTTGTTTCCGAGTACTGCGAAAAGCACGTCAAAGCTAAAGATTTAGTGTCGATGGAACACGGGATTTGTAAAGAAATGGTCACTCTGCTGCCTATTAAAATTATTAAGCTTAAAGTGTCATAGAGTTGTTTTTTTCTTTGCCAATAGCTTTCTTTGTGATATTATTTAACAATAATATATTTAAAAGTTAACATAGACTCATATAAAGTACCCTATACATTTTTTAAAGCATCTTAAATACTATCATTGTGCTTATACTTATATCTATAATGTTTATAATTTATTTTCCTCTTAATACATTTTTTATTTACATGCACATTACTTTGTAATATTCTGTAAAAAATCTACACATTACATGAAATAAAAATTCTGGCTAGGATCCAAAATTTAAACTAATCTAGTTATTCACTCTATTTTTAATAGGTACAAATATTTGTCCAAAAATATATTGTTTTTCCAGAAAAGAGTGCGAGATATGTAAACTTACTGTTTGTTTTCTTAAACTCTGTCGTCTTAATCGAATGCCATCGATAACTACTTAACAAATTTTTAATGTATGCCCAAAATTTTTTGTAACTTTTGTTACTTTAAATTTCCCGCTTTAAAGGATTTTAAATAATTCCACTAGAGTACACTAGTATATTATTTTACAGTTAGCGCAGCCATTGCTAAAATAAAAATCATTTACTTTGCGGAGAGTAAAGCGTTCATATCAAAGGTATTTATACAAACTATAAGAAATATCTCAAAAAGCTCGATTCAGATATATTTTGGATGAGAAATGTGCGAGTATTTAAAGGAACTAGAAACCGTATATCCTAGAGAGTGTTTAGAAACAGGTAATTTCCTCCTACATTTTTTGTAAATAAGTAGGTATGTGCCTTGACTAAACGACGTAGAAGCGGCCATTTTACTTAACCATTTTTAATCTAGTTTATCCGTCTACATCTCATATTCGTTATACTAATTTATTATATAATTTTAACGTTCGAAGCTTTAATTAAATTGGATAGTATATATCGATACTGATCGACTAAATACGTATTTTTAATTCTGCAATGTTTTTTTTGACGATCTTAAATGAACGTCATTTAAGTAGGTTGTAGACCCCTAAGAGTAGTTGTCTGTTTTAGAATACTAAATCCATTTCCTAAGGGGATTGTGCGTTATAACAAACTTGTCCTACACATTGTAGAAGTTTAGATATTTGGGTTTCATAAACCCTATTTTTGTTACACTCGACTTGTACGGAACAGTGTAATTATGATGACGGATACACTCAGCTCGAATAACCATGTTATGGTCTTACCTAACAAGCTGTAAGTATAAGTAAATCTGCATTTTTCCTCAGTTATTTGTCACTATTTCATTACTTATGAGAGTGGACTTCTTTTTTAGAGACATGGACAACAAAATGGATGACTTGGGATGGAAGTCCAAATTGAAAATTCCCCCGAAAGACAAAAGGATTCAAACAAGCGTAAGTAAATCATTTGTTATTATTTCCCAGGTATTATTGCCACTAACATTCTTGACATATATGGCTTCCTAGTTAGTAACATATATTTTCATGTATTCGTAGATGAAGCATGTGATCTCTTGAAATTAAGTTAATATTTTTATCCAAATTGGGATTATTTTAAATTATAAGCTGTAATTAATTTATGTTGTAAAAAATTGTCAGGAGGGTACTGAAATTGTCAGTTGTGAAGCATCGAAATTATTTGTTTAATAGATATGAAGCGTCATCGAAAGTTAAGCATGGGAGTGTATTCAAAACATAAATAGCAACACATTTACCAAGATAACTGCAATAAAATTGTCATATTTTTATCTTATCTCCATATGAAAACTGCTGAGAATATGAAATATAGAGAAATGGCCTTGAATTCCTTCTTATTCAAACTATTTTTTTATTTATTAAATAAAGGAAAATATAAAAATAAACAATTGCTTTAGTTGTAACATTTAATTATAAATATTATTGGATTTGTTTTTTTTTCAATGAGGGATTTTTGTTTATGTAAAAATAATAGCCTTGAATTGACTCTATGGGGCAAGAATTGTTTTAATTAATTTAGTATTAAAAATTTTGTGAGGCTTTAGAAACATGTTTGATTACCAGAGAGCGGACAATTTGTGTCTTTAACCTGGAACATAGATATGTCATTCATAAACCTAGATACATTATCCATGACGCAGTGGCGTGTCGGATATGCATCGGAAATTTACGTGATAATTCACGAAAATTCCACGGTACATACATTTTTAGGCGTTACAAAATATTTAGAAAATCAGAAATTGTTTACTACATATTTATTAAATGAAGTTCGGTTAAAAATAGTGTCATTCTGTTAATTGGAAATTAGGAGTCAATGTAACGAATATCCTCAGGCGACGCACATGATAGAATAGTCCAACTCACGCTCCATTCATAACAGGGCTGCAGTTTCAATTCTGACCAATAGGAATTCGATAAACGCAACCGATGTCGACAGATAGACTAGAGATGGGCGCGAGTGTCATTTCATTTCTTTAGAACTAAATTAACTTAATTATTTTCTCATTATTTAACCTGTTCACATGATTTATGGATTTTAAATAAAGGGTACAAATCTTAGCGAGGATAATACGATATATTTGCTATACATAATAATTATATTTTGCATAGTTTATACACAATACATTTTTGAACGTGTACACATCTCTACCAAAATTTGACCTATTTGGGTTAAAGACACACATTGTCCGCTCTCTATTGATTACTCAAATTTCATTGTGAAAAGTTAGTTTATTTTAAATCTTTTTTGTCTTGTAATTTTCATACCTAGTCGTTGGATAGACTAGTGATTGGTAATTATGGCATGACGTATTGTTGTGTAGTCATCTTGATTCATATACATAATTTTTCATATTGCACAGAAATTTAACAATGAAGACACACAAATAACTTAAGGTAATACAATTACACTATACAAGTTATTTGGCCATTTATTTTTTGTCGGCCAAGCTCTCTGTTGTCATATCTCATCAGGTGGATTGATTGTTGAGATCTTCAAGGCTGCCATACCACAGAATGTTGAATGTTGTAGATTATAGACTACAAATTTGTGCAGTTCTAAAAGAAAATTTTCTTGCAAATTGCGTATTAAACTTAACATATATAGTGACCTCCAGGAGCAAAATCAAATTTAAAGGTGTAGTTTTAAAAACTTGTTACATTACAAAGGAAAAATAAATTTTAAATTTCATTGACTTATACCCACCGTTATGTTTCGTATCTTTGAATCACCCTGTAAAATCTGGAAACTCGCTAATTTTTGCATGAACATCACCCTTCGGAGGCTTTGGTCTATTTAACAACGGTAGTGGGTTTTTCCATGATGATTTCTTAGGATTCCCCTTCATTTAACACATAAATGAGAGAAAACCAATCTGACTCTTTGTGAAAGCTTTTGTACCGTTAAATTCGACCAACGATTCATTCTTAAAACAAGCGGATTTTATCTAGGATGTAACAGACACCAGAGGAAATGAATTCGAAGAATTCTGTTTGAAACGAGAACTGTTGATGGGAATCTTTGAAAAGGGCTGGGAGAAACCATCACCCATTCAAGAAGCCGCTATTCCCATCGCTCTATCCGGGAAAGACGTACTTGCCAGAGCAAAAAATGGAACAGGTATTTATTTTTTTAATGATATTTTTTTGAACTCCTTTAAATTCTGTATTCGATATTTTCGCATATTAGTAGACTTGACCCAAGGCTCAGTGTTGGGTTGGGGGGACAAATATGCAAAACAAGTAACTTGTGTGTTTAAAACTTGCTGCATTTCTTAAATAAATGCAACTCTAAACACTCACATACATTGTTTTAATTTTTTTATAATATTTTATGCCATTAATTATGTTCGTGGTAATTAAACAAATTAGTTTTAATTATGCTCAGTTAATTGCTAATTTAGAATTCAAATTTCTTGAGCCCTTAAAAATCGGATTGTACTCATGCTTAATTTATGTGTTTGGAAATGGATGGGCCATACTTCAAGGGTAGGTTATTTGAGTTGGAGAATAACTGGTTATCATCCTGGTAGCTTAGTACAATGTTGTTTCCCAAAAAATCAAATATTATAGTGGCATTAACTTCCTTTAGATATTTCAATGAAAAGGATTAGATTTCTGTTATTTACAGTCCAATTGAAGAAAATTCTTCAGCCTTTAAATATTGCGTAATTTGTTTGATATGACAATTAAAATTATTTCTTTTCAAATGAAATCCAACATGACATCTATAGAACATTTATTTTCTGCAAAGTTTTGTTTAAAAGGAACTACTCCGGTAAAAAGAACAGAAAATTACATTAAAATGGTTCAAAAGTTTTTTCACTTTAAAATTAACGTTTTTATTTTTTTTTAATAAATTTGAAATGAATAAGTAGGTAATTTTATTTTTGTGTACAATATTGCTAACCGTTAAATTCTGCACTACTTCGTGCAAACAAACTATTCACTATCTCTAATAGTTTCTGAGATACTTGTGATTACCATTAAAACTAGTTCACCCTGTATATATACAAGTATGACTGCTTAAAAGTTGAGACACCAAGTGGAAAAATTTTTATGAAAATTTTGTTTTCTAAAAATAATGAGTGTCACACTTCGCTATAAAAATATGTTGAATTTTGCGAGTCATCACTGTAACGCCAATTCGTTTTCAAATGAAGTAATTCATACTAAAATTATTTCAATGTGAGTGTATAAAACCTTTGCTAACAGGTAAGACTGGAGCTTATTCAATCCCTGTACTGGAACAGATCGACCCGAAAAAAGACTGCATACAGGCGCTGATAATAGTGCCAACGAGAGAGCTGGCCCTGCAAACGTCGCAGATATGCATCGAGTTGGCCAAGCACCTGGAGGTGCGCGTGATGGTGACCACCGGCGGTACGAACCTAAGAGACGACATAATGCGTATATACCAGAAGGTCCAGGTGATAATAGCCACCCCGGGCCGTATACTCGACCTTATGGAGAAGGGTGTGGCCGTGATGGACCAGTGTAAGATCCTTGTCCTGGACGAGGCCGACAAGCTGCTGTCGCAGGACTTCAAGGGCATGCTGGATACAGTCATTAAGAATTTACCTCAGGAGAGGCAGATACTTCTATTCTCAGCCACATTCCCATTGACCGTTGAGCAGTTCATGAGAAAGCACCTGCGCGACCCCTACGAGATCAACCTCATGGAGGAACTAACGTTGAAGGGCGTCACACAATATTACGCGTTCGTCCAGGAGAGACAGAAAGTACATTGTTTAAATACTCTATTTTCAAAGGTAAGTTAGAGAAAATATTTTTTCATTTGCAGATTGTTGTTCGTGGAGAATGGAGCAATTTCGAGCATATTTACAGTTTTTTTTTCTCTTCTCTAAAAAGTAGATCAATCGTCTGAACTTAGTTTTTATTGTACGGTATCTATATGTCGTATGAGTGTAAACCGATTTGGACTTTTACACAAGTCAAACAAAAAGTAGCCTAAACATCTCGACCTCGATATTTCAATATTTTGCTCCAATGTATACAGGATGATTTTCAAAATATGTGATTTTTGTAGTGTTAAATACATTTATTTGAAAATTTGTAATTTTTGTAAAGCGTTTCTCAAATTTTTGCGTAGAATCCTGTAGAACTTCTGAAATATAGATAAAAGTAGTTCCAAGCTTCTTGTGCTCGATTTTCGAGAAAAATTTAATTTCCATATTTCACTACGAGATTACAGGACATTTTTTTATAATTGTTGCAAGCCGATTTTGTCATTTTTGAGATATTTTTATAAGACATAGTCAAAAAGTAGTTCAAACGTCTCGGGCTCAATATTTGAGAAAAATTGAACAGGGAAAACTGCATTTCAATTTGATGTTGATTAATTTAAAAGTAATGAAATGTTTCGTTTACCTAAATAAAAAAATAATTAACTATTTTCTAACCTTCCAGTTACAAATCAACCAAAGTATTATTTTCTGCAATTCGACACAAAGGGTGGAGTTGTTGGCCAAAAAGATCACTGAGCTCGGCTATTGCTGTTACTATATCCATGCAAAGATGGCACAGGCCCATCGCAACAGAGTTTTCCATGACTTCAGGGCCGGCCTGTGTAGGAATCTAGTCTGTTCAGATTTATTCACAAGAGGTAAGTGGAGTTTTGCTTGTTAAATTTTGAAAAATATGATTCTAGACAGTAATTTTTTCAGAGATTTGAGATATCCTATTTCTGATTGAAAATCAGAAGTGGGATAATTACAATTTGTTAATTGATTGGATGTTTTAGTTGTTAAATACCACAGTTAATCAAATTCCATGCCAAAGTTCAAATTTAAAGAACTTCTCAAAATTTTCAGTTTTATCACTGAAGAAGTAGGTAGAACTGAGCTGTTATCTTTTATCAGGTATTGACGTGCAAGCAGTGAACGTCGTGATCAACTTCGACTTCCCCAAAATGGCAGAGACGTACCTCCATCGCATCGGCAGGTCCGGAAGGTTCGGTCACTTGGGTATCGCCATCAACTTGATCACGTATGATGATAGGTTCACCCTGCACCGCATCGAGCAGGAGTTGGGCACGGAGATCAAACCAATCCCAAAGGTCATCGACCCTAAACTGTACGTTTCCAAGAGCGGTGACGAAGAGGAATTGGAGGAAGTAGCAAAGTAACGTGCGCAAGCTTAACACAAAGCAAAAGACTCGTGTATATAGATTTAAAAAAAAGATGAACTTAACGTATTTTTATTTGATTATTGAAGAAGATATTTTCCGTTTATAACTTTTTATACACAAAAAATATGAAACTTGGGATTTATCGTCGTGCCGTCTCGCGGAATTCAAACGATGAATGAAATGGCTCAGTTCGCGCCAGGCGGTACAGTTTTTATCCGCCGTTGGCCCTCCGCCGGTGTCATCACAAATTTCGTATGAATGCGGTGCGACTTTGTTTCCATCCAAGGGCTCGATCTCATGAGCAGTTTTCCCGTATAATCCTTGTTTGCCGATGCCTCGTCTGTGATAAAAATTCAAAAGATTCCCGGTTAAACGCCCGAGAGCGGTTAGCTTGGAAACAATTGGTAGTCATTCTGATTAAATAAAGCATCCTGTTGAAGGAAAACATCCCATCGGATCTTTTAAATTCGCATCCATTGTTACCCGTGCGATTTTAAACCTCAGGATCGGAATCCGTCTTGCCGCATTCATTTTTCTCTTCTGCGATCGTCGTCCATCGAAAAGTAATACCTGAATCTCCGTTCGATGGACGACGATTGTAGGCGGTCGCTACATAGGAGGGTCGGAAGCGGATCTCAAACAGTGAACTTTTTTTAACGCGAACTTTAGTGTTAACGGAGGAAATGGACTCCTGGAAGTGCTATGGTGAAAGTGACTCGAGGTTTCTGGGTGACGAGATGAGCACTAAGTGCGTACTCGTTTTCTCGAGGAGATTCTTTGTCGCAGCTGATTCGTTAGAGCTACCTCGCTGACGACTTTGTAGTGTCCGTCGCATATTGAAAGGCAATCATAATTTTTTTATGTAATTTAGTAAAACGGGCGCGACGGACTCGTTTCTTGTTGCGATTTTCAGGGGATGTTCAAAATTCGTATGCAGAGCAACAAGTTTTGATTTTTTGCGAAATTTTTAACATTTCACAAGAATTGTAAGATTTTTCATTTTTGTACTAGGGGGGCTCATTATTTATATCGATCAGAGATTTATATCGCCGGTTGTATGTTAAAATCGCTCTTTCATTTGTCATTATTATTTATTTTTGGTGGGTAACAAATTTTCACATACATCCGACGAGATTATTTTGTTATAAAAAAAATAAAAAAAAACGTGGAGGGCTTTTCTATTGTTTGCAAAACTTTTTCGGTTGAGTTACGTAGAACGTGCAATAAACAGGCTGTAAACCAGATATACTTATTAGTTTTTTTTTTAATATTTAATATTAATTGTGAACGATTATCAATTTAATGTAATTTAAGAGTTTATTGAAATTTCTTTAAAAAATAAATCCACCTCTCCACAACAAATGTTTTATTTTATTATTATACGGGGTAATTTATGTATTTCGTGAAATATAGACAAAAAGTAGTTCTAATGTCTCGTTTTGGAAATCCCAGAAAAATTGCATGTAGATACTTGCATTCAATATATACTGGACCGTTTTTGTTTTTGTAATGTTGAATAGCTTTTATTTGAAAATTTGTAATTTTTGTAGAACTTTTCCAATTTTTTTTTTAAGCCAGACATATTTTTCTATAACTAGTTCTTCAGTGTTCTTGTAGAATTGTAAGAACGATGAATCAGTAGATTGATAAACTTTTGGAATGTTCTTATAACAGTTTTTAAAAAGTATGTTAAGTATGTATATCATTATACAGGTCTGGTCATATTTTTATTTCCGATACGAATTTACTAACGATACGATTTACTAACTAGTAAATTATATAACTATTTCACCGGTCCCCCCTAATAATTCTGACTCCGCCCCCATATCATTTGTATAACTATGCCATCGATATGAGGGAATAAAAAAGCACCATAAGAAGTGTGCAAAGCTTGCGGTTCTAAGCTCTCCTTAACTATCAGTTTATTGTGTCTTGCATTAGGAATTTGGGAACAACGTACGTCTAAGATACGTACATACGGAAGATAGAATACTGGACAATAATTACGTTTTTGATTTATTGCGATGGCATAAAGAGTATAAGCCACGGCCTGGAATTGACAGCAATGTTGCCATACGCACAGTAATTACCCTATTTGTACGATATTTTTTTACAAGAGGGATAAGAGGTTTTGAAACCATACCAAAGTATTCCAACTTTATTACAAATTATTTATAACCTTTAGTAAAAACTAAAACGGTATTCTAAAATAAAATGAGTGGTAATTCTTAAGCAAAATAATGAATTATTTTCAAATGCCTATTAAATAAAGCTTATTATTAATTAATAAGGTGTTCAAACAAACCACCTGCTTGAGCTTCATAATACCCTAATCTGTCGTAATATTCTCGATGAACATTTTGACAAAATTTCAGGAGTAACTGATCTTAAATAGCATTAAATGACCCCATAAAAAGAAGTCGCAGGGTGTCAGATCTGGAGATCGAGGAGGCCAAGGTATTATACCTCTTGTGGAAATACGCTTTTCAGGAAAAGTTTGTTCTAAATAATCTTCAACTGGCCTTGTGTCGTGTGCAGGACATCTCCATCTTACTGAAACCAAATTTCCTCAAATTTTACATCCAAGTTTCGTACAGCTGGTACAACACTATTTTCTAATAAATGTAAATATCTCGGCGTATTTAAGTTACCATCAATAAAAAATGGGTCCCACATAAGGTTACCAGATCTATTCGAGTCAAATAGTCAAATTGTTTTCGAAGAAATCGAGGACCCAATTACGAAATATATACTTTGTGACCCGGGGAAATGGATCTAAAAAAAAAAATAGTCAAAAAAAAACAAAAATGATGTTGAAAAAAATCACGATTTTCTCATAACAAACAAAACCCGGAGAAATGACCCGGAGCCCGAAGATGTACCATCAAAACCCGAAAACTCCGGAGATCTGGCAAGCCTAGTCCTACAATATTATCGCCTAAAATTTTTACGGACCATGAACAAAAACGACATGCTTCCCCTCCACTATTTCGGGATATGTGGGTGTGGGACACTAGCGCCCTCTAATTTGCTAAGATATTGGTTTACATGGAGTTCGGATCCTTATGTAGTTTGTATGATGGAATCCTCGAATTTAGAATGAGAACTTCAGTATTAGTTGTCGCTCTGTTTACAAATTTGGATCCCGTTTTATGACGCAAATTAAAGTTTTGAGAGTCTAGTAATGAAGTTGCGCTTATAACAAATTTCTCGCGCGTTTTTTTTATACGCTACTTACATCAGCGCTACCTTTACGTGACCCAAGAATTGTCTCACTTTTTAACATAGAGTTCACTCTTTGTATGTACTCCATAGATGTCGCCATGGATAAGAATTTAAGAAACTCAAAATTACAGTTGGTTATGCTACTGACTGAAAGGCAATCTGTAAATAATTTTTTGGTCTCCCTGTCATCTATTAACCAATTTCCTAAATATTATAACGCGTCTAGTTGTAAAAGTATAGAAATTAATATTTATTTTCTACAACCTATAGCTTAGAATACCGTCGAATAGATAGCAGAAAATTAGAAATTCGAAATATGGAACTTTTGCAATTTCTTTACTTTTATCGAGAAAATGAGAAAATATATTTGAATTTTTGCCTAAAAATCTTAAGAAAAGTATTCAAAATTTTGGTATATGGTAATTTTTTTAAATTTGTAGTTTAAAGGAAACATTCTATTTTAGCGATGAAAATGATTTACATAAGAGTTAGATATAATATTTGAATAATTACATATAACTATTTTAAAAAAGTAAATACATTGAATATGAGGTTTCAATTACAATGTGTCCATTCTTTATGAAACTTGCGCAAACATTTCTTCCAGCATGTGATCTTTTACTATTATTTTACTTTTACCTACCTAGTGGTTATACACCTAGACCTAGAACCATACTCAACTAACTGTTAAATTTCAACGAAATTTTCCATTTTGCACTTCTGCAGTAAAGTGGACGGTAAAACGGCGGTGATATTGCCGTGTAGCGGAGAGAGGCCCTCTTTAAACGTGGACAGTGGTGTGTGCTGCAAATATTTCAGAGAAAGATAGTAAATATGTGTCAATTAGATCGTTTTCCATATTATGTATTTTAATTTGCATTTTCAAAAGATTTAATTAAAATATGTAACCACACAATTTGTTATTTTTTGTTTTTGATCATTTTTTAACCACCATGTCTGCCTATCAGTGCGTCGTCTTCTATTTCGAGGAATTCTAATAAACCATGAAAAACAAAACTAAATAATGGACGACCCTATTTAAAAAATAATATTAATTGTTGATACTAAGTACCTAATATTTTCTAAAAACTCCACTTGAGATACACGCAGCCAATCAAGGTAGATAAAAAAAAAACATTTCGTACACATACAGGTTCGGAAAGTCCCCATGGTACATCCGACAAGGACGGTTGCATTGAAGACGTTTCAGATTACGAAACGTCGTCACTATAGCCATCCTTGTCTATCGCACGGATTTCTTTACTTTACTTTGTCGCTCTCATGTAAAGGCAGATGGACCATGTGGATTTTCCAGCCCTGTATATGAGAAAATGCCATTTTCTCTCTACTAAACGAAAATTAAAGTATGAATTTTATGATTTTCTTAATTAATATGCTAAACTGATTACATTTGCATGAATTTCGGCAATATTTAACAAAAGCTAAATCAAATATATTTTTAAAAATGTCTACAAACAATTAATAAAAACACAAATATGTGGAAATGTGAGTGTTATAGTCATAGATTTAGTAGTACACTATATTAGATTTATGGTTATAGTAAATATATAAACACAGGTCCATTTGATATATGATTAGATTTGTAACAACTTTTCTATAAACACAGCGATCTTCCACAATAAAGTATATTTTTATAAGCAATTTTCTTTCTATGTTGCTCACAAAATATGAAACCATATACACAGGGAGTAATTAAAGTGTTTGGAGAATGGGGTACTTTCCAACTTTTTAACAGCATCACAAAATGAAAATAAAAATAAATAAATAAAAAAATGTCTTAAAAAAATAAAATATACGTTGTGATGTCATTAAGCCG